ATGTGCTTAGCGATATCTCCCCCCCTTTATCGATGATTAATGTTTACCGATAAGATAAGTTATCCTGAAATCTCGGGACTAGATTGCTGCTTGGTTTGGACGTCGAGATTAGGAGTCCAATCCACGATTCAAGGGAAGTAAAATGTATTGAGGACGCCGTGGAATGATAGTCTGGTGATTATGATTACCATTTTGTTTACCTTCTTATGAGATATGAATGAGGGAATGCATAACGGTATAATAAGTAGGATTGTTCCATGACTGAGAGACACTTTTCTATTATTATCAAACATCCAATTCGAACCCAGTGTTTAAGTTTGGTTGAATGTCAACAATTGAATAGCCATGATAGGGAAATCTGCTGTACGACTCTGGGTTGGTCGAAATCCCTTACTTCTTGCTTGGAGGAAATCTCGTGGGAGTTTTGGCTGATGGCAGAATAAAGGCGGTGTACGTCGCCGTTTTGACTTATGACGTTTTTAGCCTGTATCCTTGCACTATTTTATGCACCCAGGCGATCTAAGCACAAACCAAAATGCGACAAGCTCCATCTACTACTCCAGGACATGACTTTTAAACATCCATACATGTGATTTTTATTGATATGATTATAAGTTTGAATGTAACTTCACTCCTGTCGAAACCTCAATCGATCTACAATTCCGAGCAAAATGACAAGTCCGGCTGGAAAACGCGGACCATCAGTCTTGGTATGAGCCAAACCAACACTAAATTCCAGTTGATAGTTGATAATTACATTTTTGCTAATTTTGTCTCAGGTTACTGATTCTCGGGAACGACAACGCCCTTCCACAGCACGAAATAATTCTCAACGACCAAATGCCAATGGCTCGAATGCGCCTAGACCAACAAGATTCATATCAGTGGATAATGTTTTACAATATGCCTCTCAAATCCCATCAGGCCAAGCCCGAGGACCACCAGCCGGACGAAGACCTCAGGCTCTAGACCAACGTCGCGCAAGTGGTCCCATATCTGCTCGGATTGCACAACAGAATGTTCCAGGTCGGAGTACAAAAATCAGCGAGAAATTGGTTTTGATTCCAGATACAGTGGATGAAAAGGATGATTCAGAAACGGAAGAGAATCTGGAGGCTGGGAACCAACAGCGACTTGATGGTGGTGGGGGACCTCCGACAGATGCTGAAAGGGATATATTAAAGAAGAGAGGCGGTATCAGAGGAAAGAGTTATGCGGAACGGTTGCCCAAAGCGAGGAGAGCAAACGAATTGGCTAGAGTTACTGCGTATTGCACGGCACAAGCATATAAAACAAAGGCCACGGCTGCATTCGTCAAGGAACGACACGGAGCCAAGACAAAGTTATACGATGATTGTCTCTATACAGTTTACCATTTGCCTTTATTACCAGGTACCGAAGGATTCAGAGTACGAAGTAGTCCGGTTTTGAAAAGTCCAGGGGGAAAAGCGGTACTAGATGAAGAGATAGAGAGGAGTGAGAATCGAGATTATCATGAAGGGTACTTCGAGGATACGGATACATACGGTGTAAGGGGCGGAGAAGATAGTCCACGAAATGAAACCGACGAAGAAAGAATCATAAGGGAAGAAGGAGCCCGAAGAGGTAGAGAGGAAACCCATATCTTTGAACAAGGCAAAAGAGCCGACAGTCCGAATCGAGTCGCGCCGGATGCGAAAACTTTTGCAGAAATGTTTGTCTTCTCATATGGAGTGGTGGTATTTTGGAATTTCACCGAGCATCAGGAAAAGGATATTCTTGCAGACTTGACATTTGCTGCGCACAACACAGATGTATCGCTTGTTGTCCGACCTCAAGAGGAAGAGGATCTCGAAACAGAGGAGCTTCATTTTGAGTACAATTCCTTCGTTGACAGACCACGAATCTTTAATGATATGATAACCTTAAGGAGTGGTGATCATATGATTAAGCTAGCAATGAGTCATGCTATTGCTCAAAGTACAAAATTGAGTTTCTTTGAAGAGCGAATGTCGCAGACTATGCTAAGCGCAGAACATATTCCTAAGCACTTGGCCTTAACGGGCCAACTTGGTATGTCTCGTACGGAGATTCTCAAGATCCTTGGACGTCTCTTCAAAAGTAGGGTAGATGTCAATCTTTGTAAGTTATTCATTCTGCTTTTCGCTTAGGTTCTTGCTAACATTCTCAAGCATCAAATATCCTCGACGTACCCAGTTTCTTTTGGGACTCAGAACCCACTTTACATCCACTTTACGAAGCCATTCGAGAGTATCTCGAAATCGGTCCCCGTATCACGACACTCAATGAGCGCTGCCGCGTTTTCTTGGACTTAGCAGAAGTTTTAAGTGACAGTATCGCAGATACAAAAATGAGCACAATTACATGGATTGTCATCATCCTAATCATCATTAGTATAGCAGTGACAGTCACAGAAGTAGGTTTAAGATTCATTATATTGGAAAAAGCGGGCGCAAGTGGTGGAAATTCTGCAGCGGGAATGGCTCTTATGGATAGAAATTGGTCCAGATCTGATTTTAGTAAGCCTCAGCTGGAAGCCATTTGTGGAGTGGGACACACGATCACGGAGCTTTGAACTGAGGACTCGGGAGATGTTAATATTGGATGCGGGGTAGATACTTTGTTCTTTTTGTATACTGGAAGGCTTGGCGCGAGCATCGGAAAGGTATTTAAGTGTGTATAGAGTAGCTGTATATAATTTGCCTGTAAATATTGCTTAATGACAGCCAGCGTTCATATTAATTATAATCGGGAGTTTCGCCAAAAACTTTGCTGTGGGTTTTTGTAATGAGCAGTTGTTGCTTAACGTTATTGGAAGTTCAATTCTCAACTCGCTTATATGTTGATTAGTTGCAAGTAGACACAATATAGGCAATAGTATACTACAGTGAAACTGTGGCGTGCATTAACATATTGATATTGTAGTTAGTATGTATAAAAAGGAGGTTATATTAGTCTTGTATATATTTATATATTAAAAAATATTAGTAATATATTGAAATATTTGAATCCAATATAAAATATATATTTTTATATATATTAAATAACAAGTTTCTATTTCTTATTTCAAATTAAATAGAAATCCCTTATTTTTAATTTAATTTGAATAGGAATGTATATTTTATATTGGATTTTAGTATTTCAGTATATTGTTAATAGTATTGAATAATTAAATAATATTGAATACTTTTAGTGGTATTGAATTATGTATTATATATGTATATATTTCGAAAAAATTCGATACATATTATTAAACTAACCTGTATACGGAATATGGGAGATACTATTGCCTACACTGAGTAGACAACGTCGTTTTTGTTTGATCAACTATCAATTTGAATGTGTTCCTACTTTTGATGGTTGAAATTCATTAGAGGTATGTTTGAAAGAATAGTTTCGAAGCGTTTGCAGAGACACTAGTCGTGAGTTAGCAGAAATACTGGTCTCCACGAAGGACCTCGATAGTCTCTCATCGTCTTTTTGTCTGTAATTATTGCTTTCTTGCTGAGTGTTTTTCATTCTACGGTGAATGACTCTCGCATCACCAGACGCCTCGAGGAATACTCTCATGCGGCTTGGATTCTAGTCTATCAAATCTAGATTCTATAGATTGTATATTTCTAATCCTGGATTCTACCTTTCAAACCTCATTTCTAGCTTTCCAATATACATTCTAGCACTTTTATCTATTGCGATTGCTTGCCTTTCAACCATAAGTTCCAATTTCATATTTTAGATTCTAATTCTAACGTGAAACATTCCGGTTTGAATATTACAACCTAGTCTAAAAATATGTAATTTACCTAGCTATTGCAAAATCTTGGTGGCGTGAGAGTAAATCAATTCACTTTTAGTTGCATCAGAGTAATTCACCTTAATTTTACTACTGTGCCATTCTTTGAGGACATTTTGAGTTAGGCACTCATATCGTCTAATTAGATACTGGGTGCTCCTCCCGCTAGCTCGTCCGTTAATGATTGTCGCCCTCTGTCAATTCTCAGAAGATTCAGTCCTTGCATGTACACGGGTTGAATGAATGGCCTTAAGTCGGTCATAGCCTCAAATTTATTGGAGAAAACGGATCCGATACAAACAACAGATGAAGTTGCGAAAAACGCGATTAGGGGCTTGGAAGAAGGAGAATATCTGCAACAAAAGAGCTAGTCTTACAGTAAGGCCTGGTTAAGGATTACTTCTTCCTGTAATTAGCTAGCTCATTAGATAGAATACACATTGACAACCAGAGCCTATATTTTAACCTCTACGTCATTCGTATCCTTCTCAAATCAGCAGTCCTCCATGTCATTTAAGTGTTGATGGGGCCTTCCAAAAATTCAAGTGATAGGGCTCTCATTTCTTGGTTAGTTGTTGGATTTAACGCAGCAGACACCTTTTTAATCATTCACAGTCAAACCATTTTCCGGAAACACGTGGAGCTACTTGAGGATCTAAATAGCTTACTTTTGGTTTCTATCCATCTAGTACCTGCAAAAATCACATCAGAGCTCACAGCACATATCACAATCAAACATAGCTTCATCAATAAGACGTAAGAACAGCAGATCAATTAGTTGAATAGACTTTCTAGTATCCCCGGAAATATGCCCGATATCTCCTACTCAAACCCATAATCCTATAACGAAAAGACTCCATCATGTCCAAAAAATGCTTATACCCAGAAATCCGTTCATAAATCATAACACCGTAAGTCATGAGTTCATAAATACATGGGCTGCCATATTCATATCCAAACCCTACCAACGAAAAAAGAGGAAATCAATAAATTATTGGCGGCCGATTCGAGTGGGTTGCCACAAAGTAATATCGTCTTGAATATAGTTGAATGGTGCCTTTTGACTGTTTGTCTAGATTGCCAAATACCGATTTGCCGAGTCGTTTATATCGAATATGAATCAACAATAAATGCTCAGATTCCCAACTATGATCGTCTTTACAAACAGGGGCAACATTATCGCGTCCACTCTACCAGACTATGCTCCCTATCTGCCATTTCTTCGGGCAGCCGCAGCTGCCTTCTGAGCAGCAACCTTGGCCTTGCCATCCTCAACCTTTGCCTTTGCAGCAGCTTCCTTTGCCTTCTTCTCAGCATCCTGACGAGCTTTCACATTATCCTTGTGATCTGGATGTTTATATCCACATCCGCCTGTACAGGAGTCGGAAGCGCGAAGCATTGTGAAGTCTTTATTGCTTGGACTAGCAGCGCAAATGGGGCAATAGCATTGGTGAGTGAGGCAGTACTTGAGCCCTCTGTTTGGTGCTTTTCCCTCCATGCGACAATTACCCGCCATCGTCTTCATACCAGGGCAGTGGTGAGTCTTGGCGGAATTTCCGGCAGGCATGATGAATTTTGGATGGTGCTGGAAAGTGGAAGATTTTGTGTATGATTGTGTCTTGATCGCGTATTTGGAAATGATGCCTTGAAAATGGATGCTAAGTTTATGATAGAAGGAAGGAGAAGCAGCCTCTGGGACAAGATATAGACATCTCAATAAACTATACAGCTGATAAGAATCACATTCACATTCACATGTGGCAGTAGCGGTAGTAGTAGCAATCTTAAATTGTTGTATTAAGATTACGGTGATGATGTGATTGATTAAGCGAGAATTGAATTAGGGGAGAGTTCAGATGATATAAACGGCTGATGCCGTATATGGAAGAAACAAGCGCAGAAAGTAAGCTACGGTAGATCAAGTATGATAATCTACGGGCAATTGAACAATTCTAAAAGGAGCAACCATGCGGTATATCCTCTCCCGTAACAAACAATGAACTAGAATGATGCTATTGAGATATTCATGCCTTTATGAACACAATGACTAGATCTTTGAGAAACTAAGCTAAGGGCTTACAATTCTGTATTGAAGAATAAAATCCGTCATTTACTACCTAGCGATGATAGTCCGCTAAACAGTGCTACTCAAAGTCTGTCACCAAGGCGACATTCACACATACGGCAAGGTAATTCACTTGATCATAGCAATTTTAATACGGCTTTTACGGTTATATTCACAGGTGAATCAACCGTAACGACGTAGCTAAAGGCCAATGGGAACGTTCACGTAACTTATAAGCTCTAGTTAAACCTTCCCAAATTCTTCTAAATCTCTTAAATCTCTTAATTCTAAGATTTTTGAATTCATCTACTTTCAAAACTTACCTTGTCAATAGTTCTCCAGGTATTCTATACAGAACTCAAAATATTTACCCAGTTCTCTGCGTAAAATCAAGACAATAGACGTACTTCCACTCATAGAGCCACTCTACTTCCTGTTCCTCGCTAGATTCTCTATGTCATTTACAAAACAACACACGCACTCCCGAGACTATAACCTACGTTCACCATGGTTACCAAAGATTCCACAATCCATCATTGCCCCAAGAAGTCCAAAGGTAACTGTCGCAGAGCCTATACTCCTGGCCCAAACTCAAGACCTTATTGCTCAGCTCACATGACCTACTGTAAGGAAGAGGGTTGCAGATTGTCATATCTTCTAGGCAAGCAGCGCTGTGAGCGTTGCGCTGCCACTGCCGAAAAAGAGCAGTTGCTAGCGAAGGAAACTGCTGAAAAGGAAGCAAAAGATAAAGAGAACGCTGGAAGTAATAAGAACGGCAAAGATAAGGACAAGGAACTTAAGCCAAAGAGCGTCAATAAAAAACTCAAGGTATGTCAATCAGTTCTCTAATCTTATGCTCTCGAGATCTCTCGAGATCTCCCGAAATATATACGAGTATTTCTTTTCTTTCCAGTGTCATCTAGTCACTGCGCAATATAAGCTTTTGGTTCCTACTCAAATTCACTGCTTGATGGACAATTACTAACTTGCGACTTTGTAGAGATAGAATGTTGTATGAGATCAGTGAAATTTCAATATCCCAGGCGGCGGATATATATTGATCTGATACTAAGAATTTTGGGGAAATCATTATTGATAAGGAGAGGATTTAGATTTGCTGTCAACTGTCAATATCAGGATGCCCATTAGTCCGGAAATTCAGGATCTTTCAAACATTGAGGTAGCTTCAGTTATCAAGTCTTTTGGTCAAAAGGCATGGTTCTTGGGGTGCTAGAGTAGAAATGGGGGAGGTTGGATGGGAGGTAGCACCAATTAATAAGAGCTCTGACACCCGGACTTATATCAGAGATCTTACTCTCGTAGCTACTTAATATAACTTATTTCGATTAATCTCTGAAAGCTCTCATATTCTAGCTCATGCTTTATACTGACACTTCTCAAAATAAGAGCTGTTAAATCAATAACGGTATGATATTGTTGGCATCTCAAGAACGGAATTTTGAATGGAACTATTATTTGAATCATTGCAAACACTGAAAATCATTGAGTTAATCTAGAGGAACCATACACATACACATAAATCAAAACCGCAGACCTATACATTATATTGTCGTGAAATATGAAAGTATTGAGCAGACTAAAAGGGCCCGGTCGGGTCCTTTTTTAGGCAATATTGATAATAAATGTAGCCCAAATGAGTGCTCACTGAATGCTAATATAGACCATAAAATTATTTTAGATTTGGTTATCAACGAAAGTAGTTTTTTGAAAATTTGTATAGTAGATAGTTTTACTAAAATTATCGTGAACTTTTGATCAATATTTATAAACATAATATTATCCTATATTTTGTAAGTTTATAAAATGTGGACTAACTGTTAATCAAAGAAGTTACCAGTCTTATTATGGTAATAAATTAAAAAATCGATCCGAACGGGCTCTAATCACTGGAATTATTGATGTGGTAAACATTCTTTTAAATAATACAAGAGAGAAAGACCGTCCTTAATCAAATAGTAAGCGACAGACTACTCAACTAGTTTGCGAGAAATTTTTCGTTGTGATTACAACGTAATCGGACGGGAGTGATACTGTAGGTTATGGAAGAAATCAATAGAATCGCGGCAGGGGTAAATTCCAGGCTCTTAAGTGAATTCAAGACGGGAGAGACTACAAGAACTTCCTTCATAAGTGGTAATGTAATAGACGTCGTGGAAATGTAAAGAATATTAAGTGCATATTAATACCTTATTTTTTCGGGCAAAATCGTTTCGATGCTTAGACAATCGCACACTTTCATGACCCATCTCTGTTTTTGAATACTTTCATCACTCAAAACTAAGATCCTTCACGTTTTCAAATTCATTTATATCAATAACTAAGTATTTTCTACTTGAACTAGAGAAGAATAGAGACCTTGAGTTACCTTGGTTTATGCAGAAAAGCTCCTTAGCAATCACAGACACTATCACTAAAATAGTGAAGTTCAAATTGTCGCCTTCTGAGACATATATGCTTCCGCTTTGTCCTTTGACATGAAATTTCTTCTGACATGATGTTGCGATAATGATTTGAGACGATCATAAATATCTACAGGTGTGATCTTTGAGTTGTACTTATGGAAGCTGAAAATCGAAGAACGTCATGTCAGATTATTATTATGTTATAGATTATTGAGCTACGTGGACGGGCCTTTCGATTGATGAATTACAGCGAAATAACTCCAATACAAGTCAACGCTTCATCTTTTGAAAAGACAGATTGACACAACAGTGGGAGAAATATACGCTTTTTTCTTTTCACGCATTACTCGGAATGATATCTGATATGTGTTTCAAGGAAGTAATTAGATTATAGCAACTACCTATGTATGTTTCAATTGATTTATCTACTTTTTCGCTTGTGGAAAGCTCGGTAGTTTTGTGGGTTAGTTTAGTTACCTGGTTATCTAGGTTTTAAAGTAAGAGTTGAGGCCCCGGCTTATCGCACATTTAAGCGAAATTAGGGTAGCCACCTAATTTCACATATTTTATTTTAAAAATTCAATTATTATTTTAAAATTCATTATTTTCAACTCAAATTCAAAATAGATATTGAATATAATCACAAAGATAATAATTATAAGTTTTATTAAAATTGATATATTCTTTAATATTCTAGAATTATTCAAATTAGAATTAATAGAAAATCCTAGGAATAAATTGCTTCAAATTTAAATATATTATATTCTATTGCAAAAAGTATAATTAAATTCAATTCAATTAGAAAAACTTGGAAAAAAAAGGTTTATTAAAAGCTTATAATAATTATTAAAGAAATTTATTAAATTATAAAAACAATTATTAAAAATTAAAACAAAAAAAGAATAATTTTCAAATAAATTAAAAATATATTTGATATTAAAACTTTAATATATATAATTCAAAAGAAATTATATTGATATAAATATAGGAGATATATAATATATTTTAAATTTTTTATCTTAAAAATACAAGCAAAAAAGGGATTAGATTTTGTATATAGATATTATTAATAAAGAACTAAAAATATCATTATTATTAAATTAAAAAGGGGTAATTAAAAACTAATTATATAATCAGATAAAAGTATTTTCGAATTGAAAAAAGCGAGTAGAATATAGGTTACTAAATGAATTAATAAAAAAAGATATATTAATTATATTAAATTAATATATCAATTAGAAAGAATATTAATAATAATATAAAATACAATCGATTAGAACTATAAATCTCTATTGATTTTTTTAAAAAGGTTTAAGGATAATAAAATTATTATCTTCAAAATATATATATAACAAGTTCTTGAATCATTATATTCTTATTATTCAATAAATTAAAACCTAAATATATATTTATAAAGAATAATTCTAAGGTATATTTCAGATATATCTATAAAGCTTAATTGAAGTATAATATATAAAGCTTTAATTAACCATTTTCCTCTTCAGATTTTAATTCAATTGAAAAAGTATAGTAATAAATAAAAAAGAAACTAAAAAAGCTATTATTTGTATTTACTTCTATAAAGAAATTGAGATATGAATTATAAGTTCTTTAGAATAAAATAAATCCCTTAGATTTCAGGCTATATACTGAGAGATTAATTGTAAGATTAAAAATATAATTAAAATATAAGGATTAGCTATTATTTATTAATATAATACTCAAGTTTTATAAGATTATATTATATAATTGATTTATTATTAAATTTTAAAAAATTAGACCGAAAAATGAGTGGTGTGCGATAAGCCGAGGCCTCAACTCTCACAATTTTCGACTTTTCATTTTATATGTCAGGGTAAACGAAAAAAAGGGCTTCACTTAAAGATAGATCATGGGTTATCATGTGATATGATATATAAAGATTATCGACTGAACAAACACTTTGCAGACCTTTTTGTATAATTTACATTTACTTCACGATTTATAGACTGATTGGTGGGACTGCTTGGAACACACTCTAGTAAATTTCTAATCTATAAGAGAGGCACCCATCTTGCCCTGTGGAAATCTTTATCTATGTACATATATTTCACACATCATGCCATTATTTCAGTCTCCAGAGACACCTATTTTGCCTTGAGAGTATCATCATCTACCTGCATACATTCCGTACACCATGCTATCCTAGTCGCCAGCTGAAATTTCGCTTGACCATTACTCAGACCCTTCCTCCGGTTCGCAGTCAGCTTCATCTGCTACATTTTTATCCGGTATCATTAAGACATGACCATCGAAGTAATTTTTCCAGTCCTTCACAAATTTGTTGCATCGGTCAAAATCGACGGTGTCATGAAACCCCGTTTGCGTGAACTGAAACAATCGACGAATCCAAACACCTCTAAAATAAGTATCGTTCATGTAGTTGGGATCAGCTTGTTGCATGATCTGATCAAAATGATTCTTAATTGCAAGTTCATCTTCGGTGAGTGCTCGTTGAGGAGGAGTTTCACGGTTTCCATCCCAAAATGGAGTACGTTCATTATCATCAAACCAGAGCCAGGTTCTCGGGACTCTAGTAATGACATGTGGGACTGATAAGGCATCATCCCAGTCGATAATTCCAGTAATCTTCCACCGACCACTCGTAACTTGATTTTGGCCATCAGGAGTTCGAGAAGCTTCATCTTTAATGTTGGCTTGACTCTTGGTACTGTTGTCACTGACATGATCAAGATCGAGTGGCTGTGGGATTTCCGATGTCGAGCTTGAGCGTGGAATAGTAGGCGTTAGAGAATTATCCTTCTCAATGAAGATATGTCGAGAGCAGATATCATAATTCCACAAGATGTTTGTCGAGTCTGAATCCTTGAAGAAGCCAATCTGCTCCATTTGCTTTAAAGCATCTAGAAGCTGGCTCCATAGTAACATTATATGTGCAAAATTAACGTCATCTTTCTTCTGCTCGTTGAGCATGTTGAAAAGCAAAGATGCAAGACCTTGCTTTCCGAGGGGTGAGGCGACCTCCATAGGGTTAAGATGAAAGCCTGATATTACTGGCGGAGAGTTCGATTGGTGAACAGATGTGGAAACCCATGGCAAGGGCTGCGTACCAGAAAGTTCACCGGGACTTTCAAATGTAATGTCCTCAATTTTAGTCAAGTGTCGGGCTACGAGAGTCGTGACTTCGAGTTTTTCAGCGAGCGGAAGAGTGGAGAAAACCTCCGAGAGAGGCTGTCCGGTGATTTTTTCTTGCAGAACGAACTGAGATGCAATGACATTGTCCGCGGTGGTATCGATAGCTGCGATTGCTGGCACACAGAGAAAGTCGAATTGTTTGAGAAACAAGAGTATGGCAACTTGATCGCGTATTTTATGCAACTCATGATCTTCGCATGGAGAGCGTGGAATACGGAGAATAAAATTCCGATCTTCAAACTGTCCCGGAAATGTGAGTCCGATGACTCGATTATAGCTTCCACCTTCCATCCGCTCTACATTCGATGGGGAACCGAATCCGATGTTCTGACAAAGCTGTGTAACTTTCAACTTGTATGTTTCAAACGATTCCTGTGCATATTCGTAGGTTGACGAAGCGCTTGATTGATTGGAGTGGTTTGAACGATGTGTAACACTGGAGGATTCAAGCTTCTCATCATCATCTGGCCCATCCGATCTGTCCTCATCATCTGGCTTATCAGATTCGTCCTTATCATCTGACCCATCCGATCCGTCCTCATCACTATCGTCTTCCATGTCTGTATCAAGATCTAAGGACTGATAGTAAGCATTCCATTCGAGAACTAGAACTTTCAACATAATATAATGACTGCTTTGAGCAAATCCCTCGAGAGCAAACTTGACAAGTCGTCGAATCCATACACCTCGGCCATAAGCATCCGCCATATAATTCTGGTCTGATCGCTGTAAAATCTGCTCAAAAGAAGATTTAAGGACAAGCTCTTCCATAGTCAATTCCCGAGCTGGCTGAATATCATTGTTGCCTAGACCCTCACACCATTTGCTTGACCGGTCGTTTTCTTCAATCCATAGCCAGACAGGTGGAGCTCTCGTCATAACGGATGGTGCAGACAAGAGCCCATCCCAATCCAGAATACCAGTTAAAGCCCATTGTCCATTTAATTGCTTTTCAACCATGATGTTTCTGAATGCAAGATCCCAATGCCATACAACACAATCGGTGTCGGTGTTTGAGAACAACCCGGCAGTTTTCATTTCTTTTGTGATCTTTTGAAGTGATTTCCACTGGAGATCCATGAAGTCTTCATCGGCTGTTTTGCGTTCTTCAAAGATAGTGTCCAGAAGTGATGAGAGTGGTTGCTTTTCTTGGCTGGACATGACTTCTAATGCATTATGCTGGCTGAAGCGGTAGCCCGTGACCTCAATGTCGGTTGGGATGGTGAGCGGCTCACGAGAGATAGATGGAATGGAAGGGCCTGCAACAAGTTGTCCTGGTCGGTCGATCTTGAAAGCATTCAACTTCTTGATGATATCAGCAAGCAATTTGACGAATTGAATTTTCTCATCAGAAGGCAAGTCGTAATAAACTGATTCAGCGTTTACTCCCTTGAGCTTTTCCTGAAGGATATACGGACGACCAATGACGTTGTCTGAGGTGGAATCAAAGGCCAAAACAGCGGGAACTGGCATCAATGGGGCGAGATAATGTAGGACAGCAACCTGATCTCTCGTGCTTTCATTCGTGTCAAGGTTTCGAGGAATGCGAAGAACATAGTCCTGATTGTCTTTGGAAGGAAGTGAAAGACAGATGACTCTATTGAAACTACCTCCTCTCATACGCTCAATTTTCGAGGGCTCCCCGAGACCAAGATTATGACATAACTGAATGATCTTATGTTTGTATGTCACAAACGGCTCTTGATCGTCCCAGTCGCAGGTAGAACCTGAACCCCGAAGGACCTCGGAGTTGGAAGACTTTATCGACTCCGGAGCAGGTGACACAGTGGCGGGCGCAGAATCGATAAACTGTGCAAATTGTCGTAGGCCTTCTAAAGTATCTTCAGAAGGTTCGGGAACGATCGATGCTAAAGGCGACAGAGAGGGGTTTTTGGACGTGTCGGCAAGCGTGATTTTGTTGTCACAGCTATCCAAAGAGTCGGAGTCAACTATAACTGAGGCTGAGTGTGGATTTGGAGGGGAGTAACGATCAAAATTTGAGGAATTATTGACCACGGTGATATTGACTGTTGATGCTTCATCGGAAAGCGAAGGTGGAGGGTTCTTTTGCGTCGACTTTGAGAATTTGAATTTGAGTTTGGATGCGACGTTGCGCAGAAAGATTTTTATGGAAGGCATTTGAATGCAAACAACTAACAGTAATCTAGCAGAGATCAAACAGCTCTTGAGTGTTGATGGCTGATGAAGAGAAGACGTTGTGTGGAAGATCTTGTTGTGTGGAAGATCTTATTGTATGGAAGATCTCGATGTTTATGTAGAAAATATTATCTGGAAGTTGTTTACAAGACAGGAAGAAAAAAGAAGTAGAGTGGGTGGGGGGAAGCGATGTATTTAAGGAATTTGACGACGAGATGAATGTATTGCAGTTCCCTTAGTGTCACACCGTAGTGAATATTGCGTACTGACCGTATTTCAAATTATCCAGGTCATTCAGCTTCGCTCATTCGCGCTTTCACCCATCCATGCCGCTGTTGAGTGAATAACTATGTATACGTAGAGGTGTAAATATCGGACGAGAAGTTAAGAGATGAATTGCGAATACCGTACCTTGCCAAATCAACGAACAGAACATAATACAGTGTATATGCGACTGTGTACGGCTTCCCTTGATATCAAGATTATATAATCCTATATCAGACGAAACAGTAGGAGTTGAAATTTAGATACCGTAATCTTAGAATCAAGTGAGAAAACATCATACGGTATATTCGCGATGGTGTATGTATGTGCGGCTTACTTGATTCTAAGAGATGAGTCTTGAATACAAATCATCCCTGAATCATGATTGATTCTGGGTTTTACGGCGAAACTTCGATTATGAATCATCTTCAAATCATGTATGTTCTTGAGCCATACGGCAGTTTGAAACTGTAAATTATCACTGAATCATGAATCATTCTTAAGCTGCACAGCAGATTTGAAAGTCGATTTCCTCAGACTTCTCTTCACTCATTCATCATTCTGGTAGGGATCGAAGTTATCGCTGTTGTGCATGTTAGAAGTGCCCTCCGTCATCTTCGACCAATCGATAGCCGAGACATTTGGAATCAAGCATTGCTCATGCGGGCTAGGTAGGCCAATGATATCGATAGTTTCAATCGCCGTCCATCTCACCGGCACTAACTATTGCAGCTGTCCCAAATTGCGGTAACCTTGTTTCTGATTCTCCTAGTATCCCCATACTTGTGAAATTCGAGAGACGAGCCACCCTTTAACGCTAGCCTTTAGAGAAATAATATACATCTCTTCCCCGGAGTGCTGCTCTATTTGTCAATTTTAGCTAGTTTACAGATGATTAAATCCCAATTCCTCGATACTTCGGTCTCATGAATTGTAAGTGAAGAAATAGATACGCTCCGATAGTAGATTGGTGATTTGCTGTAATGGCAAGGACAGATGCCTTGAAATCATGCAGGCGTTGGCTCAAATTTATACGATTCCAGAGTCTTTCCAATGTCCATGAACGTTTTCAGAGGGAACTCAAGTTACTGAAATGAGGTCGATTGGGACGTTGAATTTCCGAAGTTCACAAATAGAAAACTTAAAAGGCATGCTAGAAAAATGACCAATTGGGTGGTACTGGCGTGCAGGGTTGGAAGTCATCAGGTTTGATAGTAGGAAGTAGACTTTCAAGAATTCGATTGTTGAGACTCACTTCTGATTTCTATATCGCCCCTTCAGATCACAGGGATAGGTAAGGTTTCAACAATCGTATTTCATAATAGATAGATGAGCATCTAACTTGAGGATCAAGCTGTGTTCCAAATTCAAGAGAAACCGACGCGTGTTTGATGCGTCTGAATATCGAAGTCCAGATCAGGTACTAGGCTCATGCCACAATATTCGACAGGAACCAATAAAATTCCGACAACACTAGTGTCTCTTATAATGCGCAATGTCAAGTTTCGATTTAGAAAAAAGGCGCATATTCGCGGACGTACGACGGAGGTGTATCAATCAAGAGAAGTGTAGGATATAGTCTCAACGCTTGGGTAGATACAGCTGAAAATATGAGAGGACTTTGAGCTAACAATAGAAGGGAGAGTTCAACCTCGTCTATCAGTCTTTGTTATAGGCGTTTTGCATACATAGGGGTGAATAGCTGATAGTATTACCTAGCCTGATCGAAGTCTTGAAAGCATTTTCCCATGTATGGAACGCATGAATATCTAATGTTGAAGACTCCGCTGCCATGAATCAAAGAAACCAGAAACATGATTAAAAAAACAATATTCTTTAGTGTAGACTGGTGGAAGGATATGACTTGGAGATTCGTGAGCAATCAAAGTTCACGATTGCAGGTGGAAATGGAAATTTGCATCTAATTCAGGCAGATCAAATAAAAGTTCCCGGGAAACATCTTCGAATTTCTTTAATGTTCACAGTTTAATTACATCGCATGTAAAGAGAAAACCCACCTAGCCTGTCTCTGCGGAGGGAATAGCCGCAGACTCAACGAGAAAATCCAGGGCCTTTCAACATTCTCTTGTGTTTCAAATTACTAGATCCCATTTCACGATACGAAGTAAGCAGATCAAGTTCAATCTTTTTGGGGCTCCAGTTCTAACTTGGAAATCAGAGCGCCCATTAAGCCATTGGACGTTCAAGGTTTCATTTAGTTGCGAAATCTGATCTGGCGGTTGAGCCCATTTACTTTTTCGGCTATCTCATTGACCTATCACGAAATGCCGAAAAAGCATCTCAGTCCCTACATCTCAAAATCGATCGAAGTGGCAGAATAATGTGATTACATGTATAGCACGAAAAAATATAAGAAATTTGATACGTTGCCATGCTAGAAGAAAGAGCGAGGTCGATCGACGGTGGCAAGAAGATCAACGAGCGGCGTACGTTTAAAAGCAGCACAAAGACCCAGAGAAACAAGCGAGAGAGAATTTGCAGAAGCAAAAGATGACATCCATATCAATGCAAAGCACCGGCTGATGTAACTCGCGATAGCGCCTCCTTGGGAAATCCCAAACGGATCACCAACAAAAAATTGAGACAAGACCAAGAGCGCAGTCTAAAGGATCCAGAAAAAAGCTGAACGATTGAGTGTGGACTCGAATCACCTAGATTTGATGAGTAGCAGGCATATTTCCACTCTTGGATCCCCAAAATCATCTGATCAATATGTTTACTCCCTTTCCGCTCTTCCTTGTCGTTTCCTCCTCCGCAGAATGAGAACTACTTCCATCATATCTTGCGATGGAAGTGATAAACTACGCTCCAAGTCAATCTGCCTCAGCGCCGTACTACTCTTGAATATCCATAGGCGATTTATGCCGTCCGTTACACGCTATCCCTTGCACCAAGAGTCCAACCAAGGGAAGGATTGATTTTTTCTGACACTTTTCGATATCGACTGCATCCTTATCCACTTCTCAAGAACTAACATTCCTAACATCGAAGACTCTATCCGTATTTCCTCATCCAGCCACGAGTTCATTTCAGAAAAATAATCATCAGGAGCACTTCAACCTATCGTGCTACTGCTGTTTGAATACCCCCAAGAATCTGGTCGTCAGCAACTTTAAATCAAGCCTTATAAAAATTCCCCAGACCTCAGATTAAGATAAACGGATTTTTTTCCCCTGGAGTCCGCAGGCCAGTTGAGTTTGGGATTCTTCGCGTCTACTAACGCAATTGGTGCGTGATTTAGGCTACAACTAGCAGATTAGATAATCGTGTCGTCATATCAACAGCATTTAAGAACCGAGAGCGAAACTCGCTGATACCTATTTACATTGAGGTATACCGGCTCGACTAATGGCGAGCTTTCTATTAACTATTCCAACTCCAACGCTCGTCTAGATTACACGCTATTTTTCAACTCCTAACTCCCATAACAAGATACAAAAGAAAAATAGAAACCTAAGTAATACAAACCGAATTTCTAGCATTCAGTATCATCCACCCCTCAATCCTAAGTATGCTCTTCCTTCTTCCATCACATCACATCTACACTTCCACCCTCAGTTTATTCAAAGCTACTCCTGCAAAATGTCCCCCCACAACCGGCCTTGCGATAAAATGAGCACCAAAGTCCGCTAAGTCTGCTGTCGTTGTATCATAGAAATCCGTCAACGCTACTCCAGATTCACTCATTCCCACAAACTTTGCAACATTTCCTATCATTTCCTTCTTCGTTTGATCCGATGCAATAGATGCACACCAAATATTCCAATCACTTTTTGTCCATCCATGTCTCGAATCTAGTGGAACACCGTAAGTGTTTGTCACTGAAGGGTAGAAGGTGGATTGCATGTCGTAGATCGATTGAGGAATGAGGTTCAGAGATAGGAGCTTATCTGGGAAGAGATTATAGAGGAGAGAATAGGATGAAGAATTAGCGTAGTTGAGTGATGTATGGGCAAGCATTGGTGAAGAACTGGAAGAACTTGTAGAATTGACAACAGCGAGATCTATCCACTTTTCCACATATTCCTGGGCAATGGAGCTGTAATTTGTTGAAACATCAGAATGAGAGGTCAAAGAAGCAATTTCCGCCATCGCTTTAATCCCAATGATACCCTTTAATGCCAGATTTGTCTGATTGGTCAGCTTGCCGGCAAAATCATCTGTGCTCAGTTGATTAGCCGGGATCAGCGCAGATGCAATCAGGTACTGAGTCCACTGATCCAAGATTTCATAATGATCGTTTAAGAATTCTGTATCGTTGGTAGCGCGGAAGTAAGAAAGGGACATTATAAGCATGTTTCCGCACTCCTCTAATGGCATTTCTTCATCATTCCCCGCGGAGTGACCAGTAGCATTAGGATAGGCGGAACCGAGATCGTGCATACTGTAGGCGTTGGGGTAGCGACCTGTTTCTTGGTTTTCAAATAGAGGCTTGATGGCTAATTTTAGGAGAAGTGGATTGGTGTAGAGAAGGATAGGGTGCATTGGAAACAGTACGTCGACAGTTTGAACGTTTCCATCGGAGGATATCTCTTTGACGAAGAGGTAGGGGTTGGAGGAAGTGCCTACAAGTTGAGTTGCGCCGAATGCTTGTCGTGCAGATAGGGAGGTGATAGTTAAGTAATCTTGGCCACCAAAAGCAATGGAGTCTTGGCTAATCATATCGTCGAAAGTGTCGGAGAAGCTACAGGATGTGTCCCATTCGTTGTAGAAAAATGATAACGCATCGGTATCACTGGCAAAATATGACGTCCACAAGGATGGCAATGTGGTATTACCACCGCTGCCATCAAACTGAATTGCGTCTTTCTGGGCCAATCCCAACACAAACACCACCTCCTGAGTCGTCGTGTACAGATTTCCAAAATTCTTAGCAAAACCAAACGTCGGAAACTCGTCATTTATCGCCCGATAATTCCAATCTTTAGTATTTGGAAGCTTTCCTTCGCTTTGGAAAGCAGCACGAACAACTTTGTCTGCTCCGGATTGATAAGTGATATTGCTGTTATCTTGAGTGGCCCAATACCAATATCCCCATTCGGCTTGCTCATTAATTTCAGTAAACGCTAGTTGCTCTTGTCGATAGACTCTATGGTATGCAACTTTATCATCTGTCACTCCATAATCCCATTGTGCCGTAGTACTTCGATCACCCGAAACCCATTCTAAATGTGTTAGTCAACGGTACAGTATAATGAGGATATCCAATGGTCCGGACAGCATTCTAATGGTGATCAAATTACAATTGCTCAGACGATTTGGAAATATGATCTTCTCAAATATTCAATTCTCTGACCGGACATTGGATACCCTGTATAGGGTAAGAGTAGATTACTTACCAGCCGAGATATCTGCATAAACTGACACATCATGAGTTTTCCCATCTGTAGATACCACATCCACATGCAAATAGGCCATAGTCAAAGATTGTTGTTTCAAATCTTTCGGGTTAAGAGGTGACAAGAACGTAGCAGTCAAATTAATCTTTCCTCCTACGTCAAAAGTAAAAATGCTCTTTGTAGAGGTATATTCGAAAGACGTCTGCTCTGCAGATTTGAGTAGAGTTTTATTGTCAGCTGCGTAAGGATATCCCATCCAAGTCAATGGTTCACCATCTACCCTTACGATTCCTGTCATTCCCGTGATTTGGTTGCTAGAATCCCTAGATTAGCCTGGCAGACTGAGCAATGATAGGTAGTTGAAGAATAACTGCCATGTCGTCGGATGGGCAAAAACTTACTGCCAGAATGTACTCCATCGCAAAGCAAGGCTATTGCCGTTTTTATAATCAGTAGCATTAGTTCCGAAAATTTGCCAACTATTCAGATACGGTGATTTGACCATCAAAGGAACAGCAGGCGGCCTCTCAGGCGTGAATGTCCCTTGAGCATAACTTTGCGTGATAGCTGCCGAGAGAATTCCTAAGAGAATGAACTGAATAGAAACCATCATTATGGCAATATTAATACAAAAATAGTGATACAAGTGAAAGCTGGCAATGTATATTGACAAGACAAAAAGATAGAGGTTCAGAAAGGAAAAAGGTTTGAAGTAGTGAGTTATAAATGAATGATGTAGTGAGGATTGCTTCTCATTATCCAACTACTGATAATCGTGAGCGATCCGCGGAACTAGCAACGAAATATCGATTCTCAGAAGGTAGCAGCAAGAAAGAAGGAAAGACCCAACAAAAACCCCACTAAATGTAAAGGGCCAAGAGAAGGAAGGAATGGCAGTGTAATGAATGTAATGACACATTTCTATGCATCTAAATGTAAAGAAAATTGAAACAATGACCGATTGGAATTTCTGCACTTATAATTAATCTGCATTGGCAAACAAGGTCATTATACCTGAGGATAAACTCCTGTCATATACATGCAGGAACTTAATGGACCCCCGTCTCCCACCAACAAGAAGGGCCCGGCCCGCGAAGAAGATCAAAAGGGCGGCTATTTCGAGCATACCGGCCTTGGTACCTGGAGCATATGGAATCAAATCCATAGATACAAAGGGGCCCTGTAAATCGAAGCGCTGTACCGGGCTGGCACGGGCGGTTGAAGATCTGATCTAAAATCTTAGATCTGCGCTTGAGCTGAGACTCATGATGTCAAGAAGTGGATGAATTGAACATTATGACCATGATATAAGGAGCTGCCAGCGATTATCATTTTTATTGAGGAATAGAAACGAACCCAATCTCGGATCTGGAAACTGGAACACATATCTCATAGAAGCGGTCAATTAAACCAGGTATTCATGGCAAACTAAACAAGCACATTCGAAGGAAGAAAGATTGGCGGTAATGGTGGTCAAGCACATCGGAAATTCGCTAACCTTATAAGAAGGATCTGGTGGGTCAAAGTCTTGGAAATCGTCGCCCCAATTTCTCGCTTCTAATTGGCTAGTATGGTAGCCCCCCCCCCCCCCCCCCAATCCATCTTCAGTCTATTTTGATACAGAACACAGCCATCGAGATACCTTAAGATATGATGTACAGCCTCGAGACAGCTTGCAAATATGAGTGCGATGCAAAAGCGTGAAAATTTCTTACCTCTGATTCACAAATTTGATCTCTAAATGATTTCTCTCAGGCCGTAAAATACAGTACTTAAGCTTAAGGGGCTCGAAAGAAATCTACGGTAACATTTTTCTTCTAATTCACGAATAAAGTCTACAAAGGGGGTCAACATTACTATCATACAACTCGTGAATATAGAACATAGTGACTCTTGAAGTTCGAACGAAAGACTAAGGTTGGCAGTTCGATTGATTTAGACTTAAATTAAAGGTCATTACTTTTGAGAATACCTAGGTCTACATTTTGTGTAGCCCTGTAGCCTTCCTGATCATCTTTCTCGAAGAATTTGTAGTTGCTCCCATCATACCGTGGAAAGGACGTGAAGATAACCATACAAGTATATCGTGGATATTGAACGTATGGCTGTGTTCCATTTCGTACTGAGAAGTGCAATACCCTTCTGCCCGATACAAAATCATAGTTGGTTCAGCCATTTAGCTGCTGCCTTCACAGAATTGACCGCTTCCTTTTCGAATCCAATGATATTTCCAACCAGCAAAATATCATGAGTCGCAATTTCCTCACTATGAAAAGCAATTTTATTGCCTTCTATGCCCTTCATTCCGTCTGAAAATTCCTTGACTTGTTCAAACAAAATCTCTTGCCCATTACCTTGGATCCACATTGGTGTCTTTGTATAGAATGGAGATTTTGCAGGACTGATCCATTTAGAGTCCATACTGACTGGACCATCTTTGGGACAATAGGAATTGGCTCCCCAGATCGCAAAATTGGCAGGAATGTAATCTGTGAATCTGTGTGGAGATTCATACAACACTTCTGGAGTAAGAGTCCTTGCAAGATCAATCCAGGGAGACCACAAAAGTGCCGCTGCAGGACCAGGCGCATCAGCATCAGCAAGATATCTCATCAATGCCGCAACAATATTACCACCTGCTGAATCTCCGCCCACGATAATGTTAGAGTACTCAATCCCTAGATCTCGGAGATAGTGGAGAGCTGTGACAGCGTCTTGAAGCGCGGCAGGAAAGCGACCGTCAGGGTTCGAAGACAATCGATAAGAGACCATCAACGTCTTTCCAATGTGCTGAGTGAGAAGACCGGCCGCATACCCAGACTTTTTAGGGCGACAGTCACCAGTGACAAAAGCTCCACCATGGAAATGAAGTACAACCTTCTTGGTTTTATCCTCATCGGCGTTGTAAGGTGAGGGATACCAATAGCCACAAATCGTTGCGGGTTTTATTTCCTTATCATCACAGACTCCCTTGTAAACTCCTGGTATAGAAGATGGCTTGATTGGAACAAGAAAGCCTTCTTCTTCACCCTCTGCCTTTATAACCAAAGGCGTGGAGACCTGTACCATAGATGAATGCCAAACGGCAGTTTTCAGTGCGACAGCCGCTACGGCTTGCTTGAAGTTCCATTCTGGATGCTGTCGATTCGATGAGAATGAATAATAAAAGAGCCAAAAAGGCAACTTGACAGCGTTCACTGTGATGGCACCTAAAGCCCAGATTCCTTTGAACGGATGACGTGTGATCAAATCGGGGGACATAGCTTGCTTTAAGGTTACAAGAGATGGATTGAAATACAACTTTCCGACAACAGAAAAGCGAAGTCGATTTGATTTATTCTTTTGACAACCACTTCGATCATGTAATGCTTTGAAGTTGCTAATTGTTGTCTAGCTTTTGGTTTGTATGTATGTGACTTTATTGATCTAGACGATTCGGGTTTGATGAGTGTTCAAACAACCGTCGGATGTTCGGTTAAGGTTACACGACCAAACTGACTACATATTGAACTAGTGAACGGGCTTTCATTGGCAGTGCAGTGAGACTTGATCTAACTAGAAGTAAATCATCTATTCAGCCCGTCAAGTGCAAACGAATTTCTGAATAATGATTCCCTTCGTGGGAAAATCCTGCACAGGTATCTTTGCACCCATAAACCATTCTACTTCTTCTAGTCATTTCACTAAATCACTCTCATAGATTGTAATATATCAATCCAGAGGTTCAATATATCATCAAAAGATACATGTGTCATTTTCACCTAGCAACATCCAATAAACATAGCCATTAAGTAATCTCTAGTTTTTGAGCTCGCCAATCTATAAAGACATGGAATAATTCGATTCTCAATCCAAGAAAGTAGACATCATTTACCTAGTGTTATCTCAACTTGACTTCTTCTGCCTGTCCCTTTTCCTCTTCCCCTTCCTCTTCCACTCTCTCCCTTTCTCTCCTCTAACACCTCAACTCTGGAAAAAGCATCACTCACACTTTCAAACATCCCTCCTTACTCAGCCCAACTCACCCCAGCTTAAACTTCCCCATTTTCTGTTCCTGGCAAACAAAATCCCAACTCCCAACTCCCATATACCATCTCCCATCTCAGATCCCGACCCAACAAATCACACTCACATGCATAATCCTCCCCATCCACAATCACCACCCAATGCACTGCCTCAAAAGCATATGCCATATCCCGTGGCTTATGCACAAGCCCGCAATTACACGTCACTCACACGCCAAAAGTAAATAGCTGAGAGCAGATCGAAATGAGTTCCTAGGCTCTCAAGTATGATTACCTAGATACCTACTCGTAATGCTCAAACCTATCTCATATCTCTTCCTACCACTCTAGGCTCTATAGTAGATTCAGAAGAATCCTCTCGAATCATCCTATTAATCACTCGCCAAGGGACTTCACATGTCTAAGCCTGACGTGCAAAGTATCGGGAAGAAAATCCAGACGAACAAATAAAACATCTTCCTCGTCTAGGCGAATGTAAACATAGAAAACTTGTCCAACCATACAAACACCCGTCGAATTTCTCCCACGTTGCTAAAATGCTCCACATATATCACAATTCCATACTTCCATACTTCATCTGCACAGCTGAATACAGCACACCAGTCACATATGATAACTCACATTATCTCAAAATAGGTATTCATAACTGATTAATTGACTCCCAACACCCGATGTAAGGCGCTTAGCTTAGTTCAACCCGGTTCAGCAACGCAAGCAAATCTTGGAAATAAAAATTATTCATGAAAATGTGAGAAGAGTGAATCAATCTTCGGGAGGATTCTCCATAAATTCGTTTATCCGTGATATCGACACTTTGCCACTCCGCCCAAAGAAACATTTAAAAAGCAAGAAAAAACCCAGAAATCTAGCTCAACAATTGTTCAATGGCTCCCTGAACACTTCCTCCACTTCTTCTTAAAGCCGCCACATTTCTGTCAAAGTCGAAGAATCCCATATCGTTTAATTGCCTGAGTTGATCTGCGTAGACTTCTTCAGGTGGCCTGGTGTCTGCTGGAGCTGCAGGTGCACTTGGGGCAGCACCACCCATTCCGCCCATACCGCCAAATCCACCAGGACCAAACATATCACCGAATGTTCCATTTTGCATCATTTGCATTGCTTGTTGTAATTGTTCAGGTGTAGGTTGTGGCATTCCTTGAAAGGGGTTGAATCCCGCTCCAGCTGCTCCGGCTCCTGCTCCAGCACCTGCTCCCCCAAACAGCGAAGCAAAGGGGTTCGGTGGATTAGCATCAGTACCAGTTGATGGGGTTCCCCCAGCAGAAGCGGGAGGTGGAGGAGTTTGGGCTGGAGTATGACCCGCGGCTGCTGCTCCTGGTCCACCGAACAATGATGCGAATGGATTATTAGCACCTCCTGCAGCAGGCATTCCAAACATATTGAAAGGTGGTGCGCTGGGTTGGCCACTTCCTGGTGTGCTCCCTGCTGCTCCAGCGGGTGTAGTATCAGTGACGCCCGGCGCGGGAAAACCGCCAGCCCCTCCACCCCCCATTTGTCTTCTCATCGCAGCAGCTTGTCGAATGGAGTTCGGATCCGTAAGCATGTTTCTGAACATAGGTGATTGTAATATCTCGCGCGCGTTGGGCATATCTCTGAGCATTGGAGTATTTTGGATCATCATGTTGACAAGGTCCGGGTTGTTAAGAGCTTCGTTCATTGTTTGACGAATATTGGGATCGTCCATCATTTGAGCGAGCGCATCTTCACTTGGTGGCGCACCCATCTGCGAAAATGTTAGTATAGAAATATTACTCTCGGGAATGGGCATACGTACACCACCATCTGCGCCGAACATTTCAGCACCTGGAAGACCCATATGGCCTGCATACCGAGCACCGGTCAAACCAGCAAGAGGATTATTCGCAGTTCCGGCAGCCATGTTAGTTGGGAGACTTGCTGCAGCGCCAGTTGCAGCATTGGCAGCAGCATTCGCAACGTTGCTTTGTGCGCTCTTGACCATATGTATCGTATTGTTAGGCTTAATCTTATAAGTGCTTAAAGGTTCCTCATTCTTCATAACGCGACCGGAGTAGATTAATCGTTGACGATCTACCGGAATCTTTTCGTAATCATCTCCAGCTAGCTTTGTCTTAAGATCAAGAACTGTTGCGGTCTCTGCCATGGTGATTGTGTGATTTCCATCAGAGGATGTCTTGACCTTGAAGGTGATCTGAGAATCGCCCTCGGGCGCAGTGGATGTCTCGTCTGACATTTTTATAGTTTTAATGGATTTATGAGTTGACTGATGAAGATTGAATTGAATCCAGATATCCGAAAGAGCCAGGTAGGTATGGCTGGAGGTTGTTTGTTGGATTGACAGTAAAGGTGGTTTGATGTGTGTATTGGGCAGGTAATCGTATCTATCATAGGCAAATATTAAGTGAGGCGTTGAGGGGTGTGGCTATGGCTCAGATGACGTTCGATAGTTCAAAGATGGCTGTCACTAGGAAATTTTGAGAGGAAGGATGAATATGGATATGCGAGAAAGAGAAAGAGAAATAAAATAGAGATAGAGATAGCGAAATGCGATAATAAATCAATTTTCCTTGAAGAAAAAAAGATAAATTCAAATGGTTTGATTTACGATATAATTCGTTATTTATCGTTAGCTCTACATCGTATAAAAGTATATATACCCTCATACACCTAGGTAGGTACGTTGTGTGACTGGTGACTGATTGATGACTGATGATAACATCTTCCATTGAAATCTTTTGGCTTCTGATTACTATCTAAGTGGGAATTATCAAAGTAACTTCCAGGGCCATAAGGCACAGTCATGCAAGGGCCGACCCAGCGCGAGATCTAAGTACCAGTGAGTGTCTAGTAAGTAGAGTAGAGTTCCGCCTAACCCCCTTTCCTTTATCGAGCAGAAAGTATATCAGACCACGAAGAGAAGCCAAATTAAACAACCACGTGCCGGTATATATGTTAGTAATATCTTTCTTCACAGATTCTATTATCCTTGCCTCTATTTGGACTTTATATTTAATATCCCGTATTCATCGCCAATGAGGTCTGTTGCTTCTTGAATTCAGCATCCGGACTCCCGGTGAGGTGTAATAAACACAATGTAGCATGAAGGCAAGTACCGGCCAGGTAAGATAAGAGAGGCTGGGGTAGGAGGTTCACTTATAACATTTATGCCATGGCTTTAAGAAATGGAAATCTGCCTTCTCAATACTACCGATACTACCGGGCAGGAAGCAAACTTCTTGATAGACTTTCAACAGGGCCAGGTAAGGTATCGACCGAGCCATTAATTATCAGTTGGACCTCGGCTCGGTCCCCGCGTTTATAGAATCCGGGGATCCTTCAATTTCTGAGCTTACCCACTTCAATACTCCTCTTACTCTTACATACAAATCACTCCTCTCTCTCCCCTTCGATCTTTTGTGCTATATTATATTCAATCAATTCGGGATATCACTCATTTCGAACAAACAAAATCACATCTATAACCCGAAAAACAATTTACAAGATGCGTGGAATTCAAATCAAAGAATATGTCAAAGTAGGCTTTCAGAGAGAGCTTCACAACCTTTCATCTCCTGTCTCCTTCGATATTTGTGTATATCTCTACGGCATACTAATCAATTCTTACAATGTAGGGACCTCAAGATCTTAAAGTCACGGATCTACCAGATCCAGTGCCAAATCCCGATCAATACTTGATTGAAATTCATGCTACCGCTACCAATTTCTACGACCTGCTCCAAATTCGCGGGAAATATCAACACCAACCTCCTCTGCCTTGTAAGATATTTCTTCCATCTACCCATTAGCAAGTGATTTAGAATCCGTAATTACTTATTCTGACCAATCTCCTATTTCAATCCCCCAAACATTCACTGACCCCCAACCTAGGGATTTCCGGCTCAGAATTCAGCGGCACCATTCTCTCCACACCCTCCTCTTCCTCATCCCCCAAATACAAAATTGGCGACCGCGTCTTCGGTGCCTCGCAAGGTGGCTACGCAACTCTTGTCTGCGCCCAAGAAGCTTCTCTCTACCCTGTCCCAGACTCCTGGTCTTTCTTCGAAGCAGCCGGTCTCTTCGTCACCGCTCCCACATCCTACGGTGCTCTCGTCACACGCGCGAATATAAAATCTGGAGACTATGTTCTTATTCACGCTGCTGCCGGTGGAGTCGGTCTTGCAGCCGTGCAGATCGCAAAGGCATTCGGCGCAACTGTTATAGCTACTGCTGGCACGAAGCGAAAGTTGGAGGTAGCGCGAGAATTTGGCGCCGATCACGTTATTGATTACTGCGATGCTTCTTGGCCCGATCAAGTCAAGAAATTAACACCAAATAACAGAGGTGTAGATATCGTGTTCGATCCAGTGGGTCTAATCGACAAATCGACAAAATGCATACGCTGGAATGGACGACTCCTTGTTATTGGATTCGCAGCCGGCAATATCGAGAAAGTGGCGATGAATAAGGTTTTGTTAAAAAATATAAGTATAGTGGGATTACACTGGGGAGCATATGTGCAGAACGAACCAGAAAAGATCCAAGAGGTATGGGAGGGAATTTTCAAATTGATCAAAGAGGGAAAATTCAGGGGAACGGTCTTTAGGGATAAGGAGTTTGTGGGGTTGGAAGATGTTCCAGGAGCATTGGAGAGTTTAGGGGGGAGGGGGACATGGGGAAAGGTTGTTGTGAAGGTTGAGAAGAATGGAAAAGAGGGGAGGAGCAAGATTTAGGCGGAGGAAGGCAAGAAAGAGTTGTAGTCGGATGATGGATGGATAGGGGAGAGATGTTATTAGCGAGAATCTAGAAGGTCATGGTGTATATTTGTATGTGTGTTATATGGACTAGACTATATGACCGACCGCATTATTAAAGGGTTATGAGATTATTGGAAATTGCCTCGATAGAGAAGATACTTAAACTGAAATATTGGCATACACGAATAGAGTGAACAGTTATAGTATCAGCTCATAGAGTTACACAAGTTTGCAAAACAAACACTTCAAGATTTCCAGAAAAATTGCAACGACCTCATATCAGGATGTCGGTTCATATACACATCCTCACATCCTCACATCTCATCACCATTACATTATACGCTACAAGAGCATCTGAAAATTGTCTGTCATAGATAGTACTATTCTCAATTATTCATTCAAACGTTCGCTATCTACACCCATCCCTTTAGTCATCCATCATATCAATAAGTAGTAACAAATGAATCATATCGTATCCAAAAATCCGCGCCTGCTCCCAATTTCCATTCCCATTCATAATATCCCAGAGTAATTCGTGAGAATTTTAACATCTCTACGACTAACATCCACCCGTCCTCTTAACAATCCCAATCGACAATCTAGAAATGTTCTTTCCAGAACGAAAAATTGACATCGCGAGTCGTGGCATTCTTACATGCTTTTTTGATGGAGCGGGCTGCTACGTTTGGTCCTATTCAGAATGTTAATATCCATGTTCAATGAAGAATGTATCGGAATCTGGTATGGAGAGGAACATGAAACAAAAACACAACAGGACAAAACATACCACAAAAGTAAACCCCAATATTAGTTTTAAAGTCTCCCTCCAAACCAGACATATATGTTTTATCCATGATTCCATCCCTCATTCCCTCGAATAATTTTGTAAAATCCGGTCTTCCGAAATTCGTCCTCGATTTCAATTCAGTCAATGGATCGACATCTGCACCAACACTATTCAATACGATGTTTTGCGCCGTATCGATATCCAACTTTTGGGTCAAATAAGTATGGATACGTAAAAATTCTTGTCCATCATTACCGGGTTGTGATGCGGCTTCTTGAGATTGTGCTTCCAAAGATGAGAGAAGGACTTGGAACCATTCGAAGGATGTGGTATCTTTACAAACCCAGATGAACTCTACTCGACGAAGACGTTCTGGAGGATTTGTTCCGTGACGAAGATGCCAAATGTTTTTGAGGATGGATGCCCATGGTGTTACACCGATACCTGTGCCGATGAGGACTGCGACTTCGTTTTCAAAGACATCCTCGGCAGGAGCACCGTAGGGACCATCTATGCGGATATCGGGCATTTTTTGGCCGTTCTCGAGAGCTACTTCGTACATACCATTGGGATCGACACCATCGTAAAGTTTCGCTTGTGCAGCACCCGCTCCGAGGGCGTCTCCGAGGGTTCGAGTGAAGTCACCGACTTGACGGATGTGAATAGAGATGTAAGGGTCGAACGGACATGATGTGATGGTAAAAGGATGCCATTGTTCACGAGAAACAGATGGGACGTTGAGGAAAAGCCATTGGCCTGCCTTGTACTTCATTGATGGCTTTCGGAATTGAATTTCCATGGCATCTGTAATTTGTTAGTTTAGAATGATGATTGTTAGGATGTAACGTACCATATGGATGACGAACAACTCTAACAATTTGAGTTTCTCTTCTGCTTCTGATTTCTCGATACACGCGTTCAAGGAAGTAAAGTCCACCACCCCAAAGCTCCCAACGCCATCCTTCATACCCTAAGCAATGTCCCCAGAAGTTCTCGCCATCAAATGGAGAAAACGGGTCAGCGGTATCACGGACGAAACATCCCGTAGCGTGTGTATACATTCCAAGCAAGAATGGAATAAATAAATGATGCGTGTACCAAAATGTTTCGAAAGATTGTTGTCTAATCTTAGCATGCGCAGTCGTATACATCAACATCATGCATAGTAACATAATATGACCTGTAATACCACCAGCTTCGGTATAGTGAATTTGAATTGCGGTCACAGGTCTGATTTGAGTCTTTTCGACGTTGAAGAAGCTGCCTGAAAGTTAGTATTTGAGTAAAAATCGGATTTTGCAGTACTTACTTCACATAGTGAGCAGCTACATGAAATATGGTCCAGAATAATAACGAGTATGCTACTTGTCGGTGAAACCATTGAGACTCATCAAGTGGTAAGAATTTGACCTTTGGTCTAATATATCTCAAGATATTGCGGCACATGGGCAGCAAGATCATTGCAACATCTACAGACAACACCAGACCGGCACCTCTCGATATCCATACTGAGAATGTAAGAGAATTCAAACCTGCTAGTCTGGGGTCACTAGCTTGCTTCCACCTGCATGACTTATTAGCGGAAGATAGCAAATATACTGGAAGCTGACTCACCATCCAAAAGCAAACAGGCCAACGTGAAAGCCATGGAAGAGGAAATTAAATAGCAACTTAGTTCCCCGAGTCTGCTCTTTCAAAAACTGTACAGCCCCCATCTTCTCTATATCCAAATATCCCAAGAATTAAAGGTCGTCCAGCGACAAGATCGATGAAGAAAGTTGAGTGAACCCGTTGTTCTTTTTGTGATTGACAAGAGGAACCAAACTTTCTGATCCCAGGTAGAAATATTAAATAAGGTATTTTCCAAAAAGAATGTGTAAAAAAAGAATGTTCATAACAAGAAAAGAATGATCTGAGCCAGCAGCCAAAAGCTTGGAAAGCTTGGGTAGAATGTTTGGAGAGGGAAGTCTTGTTCTTCTACGACGCCGAGGAAGGAGAAGACAAAAGCTAGGGTTTGTGGGCAAGCCTGGAGTAATAAAGGTTACTCGTTGGGTCTACCACACTAGTCACTTGATCCTTTCAATGACAGGATAGGTACTAGGTATGTTGTGAGAAAGTCTTATTAGGTTCGAAACCAACGCTCGTACAGCCGTTTGTTGCGGGCGCAAATCTAAGAATTCGGATGACAGATTTTCCTTGAAAGATCCCAGCAAATTTGTACAATAATACCTGATTTTCCTTTTCGATTTCCTATTCCATATGAAATTCAAGGAGAGATCCCGTTGATAGGTATGAAAATCACTGTATGTCGAAAAATGCCATCCGAGCTATTTAATCAAGTAGGAGTAGTTGGGATGTAACAGTGCGTTTCGGAAGGTATAAGACGGTATCAGATCGATCCGATATTTTGATAATGAGAAGCAGGCTATGGTTTCGTATGGTACGAAGGATGAGAAGATATCAATTGAGCTTGTATAGTAAAACTTTGCTGATTGAGTTGAGACGGATGTTGTTGCAAGTGACCCCAGAAGCATTAAAGAAGCGATGAATGGTGTTGCAAAATATCCGATCTTATCTAGACGTTTGAACAGGAGCTCGAGAGGGGAATAGATTTGTCTACCGTACGTCTTTTCTTCGGAATATCAATTGATCGATCAGGAGGGTACGAAGGAATCAAATCTGACTCTCAAAAAAGATTGAAATAAGTTGTCGGATGTAATATGATTTCCGAGGTAGATTTTGATTTTTTTGGATTTATGAGTGAATAAATTTCATGAAAGAAATAGAAATGAGAAATCAAGGTCGAATTCGAGGTTTTCTATATTGAGAATGGCCACTGTCACCCGTCTCTGAATAACCAGGGTATCAAGCTACCCCAGGCGCTTGACAATCACATTTGATTGGATGAATGTATTGATAGAAGCAGCCCTTATGCACGAGTCCTGGTCGTCTGCATCAATCCATCTGGTACCTCGTTCCACAGAAGGTCTCTTTCTGGATTTTTACCAGAATAGCTCCCTTGGATCCACCAACCTAAGATTCCATACATGAGCCAGTACAAAGGACCCTCACCGTAGATAGTAGATGTCAAGTGTTGTTGTGTCGAATATTTTGACCCTTGTTTGAAGATAAGGTGCTATGGGGTAACATTCTCGACTCAATTTGTAATTCATATATGTACGGATGGGTGTGCAGGACGGGGCAACTATGGAACATGATTTTGTGGTGACATCGTTCACATCCTAAACCAGTATATGCAAGGCTACATTGGTACGATGTGGTCAGTCGACCCTGTGACCATAGGTCTATAAAAAAAACCAGTCTTTGTCTCAATCGTTTCGGTATCATATTGAGATTTGGTTCAAATAGAGGATTATCGAACGAAGCTGTCATGTATGGCTAGCTGAGCTAAACGTTGGGTCCTGGGCTGGTAGGCATTTAATCGAGTCTGGTCTGGGTCCATAATTAGGGCTGGACGGCTGGACAGAAAAGTGACCATGGCGAAGTCCATAAGGTTATTACAGTCAGAAGTAGTGCGATTTGATACCGGTATGTAAATGATATCTGAGCGTTCACAAGTATAAAGTACCTGCGTGTTAATACGAGTAGACCGTCATTGAATTAAATTGCCGTCCGAACTTCTGTTCGTCCAACTACTTCAGTGATATTCGTTTCCCGCCATTTCGCCGTTCCTGCAGGTCCCAAAAATGCAAAACCTTATCCTGGGTAATACTAAAATCACGTGATAAAACGGTTTCACGAAGGTCTGTAGCAGAATTGTTGGCGAAGGGGCTGACACTTCACCTTAGTTCATTAGTTCATCGCCCCGGACTTGTCAAGCATTGACTGTCAATCCAAATCTGACTAGAAGGCACAGTACAAAGCACCAAACCAAAGCCAGCCATGCAGTGGGTGTATCATATGCCTTATCAGCGCAGTACTCGAGTAGGAAATCATGACCAAAAAAATTGGAGTTCTAGCAGTCAATTGGCAAAAGCAGGACCCCTGTGCTATTTTGTACCGATAAATGTATCTGGCAAAATCATTTTACTAGAGCGAGGTCAGAGAGGCGAAATTATGTGTCGTTTCAGAACTGGTTTGGAAACAGTCTTTCGTCAACAAGGGCACGTCCATCGAGGGGCTGTCGATGAAAGTTTGTTCCCTGTGACTTTATTAACCATAACTTGAGAGATGGAGATCTTGCTTCATCAACAAAGGGTACATACAACGGAGACACGATGTACCGATAATAATCTGTATATAGATTTCATTCGAGTCTTGAAGTCGATCAAATTATTCTCTCGTGAATTCCTTGGCATCGGCAAAAAGCCATAAACACATACCATAACCACAGGCGCAATTCAAATCGCTAGAGTGTACTAGCGATCTTCGAATTGCCATGTGCGAAAGAGCTGAAAGTTCTAGCATGCAAAATGCGTTGTCGTCGATAGAGCGTAGGAACACCGTCAGCTGCGTGTATCCGCTGGAGACAATGATACAGATCCTAATATTTGCCTGAATAACTCCATACACAGCGGCCAGTCGTGTTTTGAGGAGGTTGTAGCTCGATGGATACTCGGTGACATTTGGTGTGGCTATAGATGATATCTGGACTCCATGAGTACTGTAAGTCCTTCTCTTAGGACAGACGAGTCTAAAGACAATACTGGTAGCCCTTTTCACTAAGATACTTGATTATCGATGGCCGTCGTTTGTACCAAATCTCATATGGGAATGCAAGATTGTATTGTATAGTATTGCTTGAGCAATGCGACCATGGTGTAATTTCAAATTGTACAAACTTGGGTTAGAGTTCAAAAACAGGAGAATTAAAATTGTAGCAAACACACTTGTATATGCTGGATCGATTCTTCGCATAACGAGAAGGAGTAAATGAAATGAGCAATTGGATGATAGCAATGCGAGAGCCAGAAGCTTTTATCCAATGCTAGAAAGACAAGAACTCTGAGAGCAACTAGCATGGGACAACCACATTACACAATAGCAGGCATAACTCGCAGTAAGTTCCGTTGAAGTGATATCATGAAAAACAATGTTTGGCCGAGGACTTGAATGAATGGATGGTTATTTTTGGTTGTCTATCAAAGTATTAATAATTTGCCAAGTGGATCACATCGATGCAACCAATGTTATAGCAAATGCCACGTTCCCCGTGGGCTCCATATGTGCTCCATCACAGCATGATGACATGTAAAGCTTGAGGTTAATGCTATTCTTCCAGATGTGTAGAGGAGTGATGTTTCTTCGTGTATGGAGGTAAGCAGATGTCAATTCAAGTCTTTGTTGATGCTTCGTAAGTTTTCAAAGCGGCGAAAAGAAACGAAAAGGAATGCGTGGTCAAGAAGGCTGAGTCCACTAATTAGGAAGTTTAAAGCCTTAAGTTTTACCGTTCCGATTTAGCGCTTGTTAATTGGAACGGGCGTTTCGTAGCGAAGCCGATCATCTATCTACAAGTGACGATTTCGAAGTAATTATTAACACTTGACGATATACCAACTGCCAAAATCTGTGCATTGAGCGTGCGATTCTGGTCTTTTCATGATAGACTCTTGCATGCAGTCTCTTTCACATTCGCTGAGCTCAATATCATTCCTTGAGATCTACTGTTATCAGCGCGGACCGTTGCGCCTGTAAGGGGGGTTGATAACCAGGGTCGACTCAACTTCAAAATGGTATGGAACAACAAAGGCCTTCTTGCATCCTTCAGAAAGCCGGCATGATTAATAACATCTATTGGAACAGGGTATCAGTCGTCGTCCGAAGGGGAATAATAATGCCTCTGCCGCAGAGAGTGCCCCGTCGGGGAAGCCGAATATCCAGAAAGCCCAGTTCGATACAACCAAGAAGAAGGAAGTCGGTGTGTCGGATCTTACTTTGATCAGTAAGGTCTCTAATGAAGCCATCAACGAGAATCTTAAGAAAAGATTCGATAATAGGGAAATCTATGTATGGCCCCTCTTCGCGACGAGCGAACACGGATATGGGAGGGTTCCCGAGGAGGATGAGTGCTAACAGTTTTCATGTAGACGTACATTGGGCATGTGCTTGTTTCCGTCAATCCTTTTCGAGATTGTGAGTAAAACACAACTTCTTCGAGGTCGCGCATCTAACGTTTCACAGTGGGAATTTACACAGATGCAGTCTTGGATAGTTACAAAGGCAAGAATCGGCTGGAGGTCAGTAAACACCGAACTACACATTGGATACCTGCGTTTCTAACAAATACCTAAGATGCCACCTCATGTCTTCGCCGTTGCCGAATCTGCCTACTATAATATGAATGGTTATAAAGATAATCAATGTGTTATCATTTCGGGAGAATCTGGAGCAGGAAAGACAGAGGCAGCAAAGCGAATTATGCAATACATTGCCAATGTTTCTGGAGGCAGCAACTCATCCATTCAGGAGATTAAGGACATGGTCTTGGCGACGAATCCATTGCTAGAATCTTTTGGTAATGCGAAAACATTACGGAACAATAATTCCTCTCGTTTTGGAAAATACCTTCAATTGCAGTTCAATGCGCAAGGAGAACCGGTAGGGGCGGACATAACAAATTACCTTCTCGAGAAGACGAGAGTAGTCACTCAAATCAAGGATGAGCGGAATTTTCACATTTTCTACCAATTTACAAAAGGGGCCTCACAGGCATACAGGGAGAATTATGGTATTCAGCAACCGTCGCAGTATCTCTACACAAGCAAAGCCGGGTGCTTTGATGTTGATGGAATTGACGATCTCGCCGAGTATCAGGATACTTTGAATGCCATGAAGGTTATCGGTTTGTCGCAAGCTGAACAGGATGAGATATTCCGCATGCTAGCTGCTATCTTGTGGACTGGAAATATTCAATTTCGTGAAGATGAAGATGGATATGCTGCAGTTGTGGATCAATCAGTTGTTGACTTCCTGGCATACCTGCTGGATTGTGATGCAGGCCATGTTATTCAAGCTATCACTATTAGAATTCTTACTCCTCGGAACGGGGAAGTCATTGAATCACCCGCGAATGTTCCTCAAGCGCTGGCCACGAGGGATGCTCTCGCTAAAGCAATCTACAATAACCTCTTCGATTGGATCGTCGAGCGTGTAAACAAATCCCTTACTGCTCGGTCGGCGACATCGAACTCGATAGGCATTCTCGATATTTATGGGTTTGAGATTTTCGAGAAGAACAGTTTCGAGCAGTTGTGTATCAACTATGTCAACGAGAAATTGCAACAGATCTTTATTCAGCTAACATTAAAGACTGAACAAGAGGAATATGCCCGGGAACAGATCCAATGGACGCCAATCAAGTACTTTGACAACAAGATTGTTTGTGATTTGATCGAAGCTACAAGACCACCAGGTATATTTTCCGCCATGAAAGATGCAACTAAGACAGCCCATGCTGATCCAGCTGCATGTGATCGTACTTTCATGCAGGCAATTGGCGGAATGTCGAATCCTCATCTTACCCCTCGACAAGGCAATTTCATTGTCAAGCATTATGCTGGTGATGTGAGCTATACAGTAGAGGGAATTACAGACAAGAATAAGGATCAACTTCTTAAGGGCTTACTCAACCTGTTCGGACAAAGCAAAAATCAGTTCATTCACGAATTATTCCCCCACCAAGTCGATCAGGACAACAGAAAACAGCCTCCATCTGCCGGTGATAAAATAAAGGCCTCGGCGAATGATTTAGTGGCAACATTGATGAAGGCAACACCATCATATATCCGTACTATCAAGCCTAACGAGAATAAGTCACCAACGGAGTATAATGAGAAGAATGTCCTGCATCAAGTCAAGTACCTTGGTTTACAAGAGAACGTTCGTATTCGTCGTGCCGGATTTGCATATCGTCAAACATTTGATAAATTTGTTGAACGATTTTACCTACTTTCCCCTAAAACCTCTTATGCAGGCGACTATATTTGGACAGGAGATTCAAAAACTGGAGCAATGCAAATTCTGAAAGACACTAACATACCTGTTGAAGAATATCAGATGGGTGTGACCAAGGCATTTATCAAGGCACCCGAAACCCTGTTTGCCCTGGAACACATGCGAGATCGCTACTGGCACAACATGGCTGCCCGTATTCAACGTGTGTGGAGAGCGTTCTTACAAATCCGAATCGAAGCCGCCACTCGAATTCAAAGGATGTTCAGGAAGAAGAGAGAGGGTAAAGAGTTTTTGGAGTTAAGAGAGAAGGGTCACCAAATTCTACAAGGGCGCAAAGAGAGAAGAAGATACAGTCTTCTAGGTTCAAGACGATTCATGGGTGATTATCTTGGAATTGCAGCAACCACAGGACCTGGATCAAAAATACGCGGTTCAATCAATTTGCCAGCTAATGAAGTCACCCTTTTCTCCTGCCGCGGTGAGATTCTCGAGACAAAATTCGGTCGATCGAGTAAGCTTAGTCCTCGCATCTTCATCATGACGAAGGCGAAGTTCTATATAGTCAGTCAGCAGCTTGTAAATAAGCAGGTTCAAATTGCTGTGGAAAAGGCCATTCCCCTCGGGGCTATCAAGTTCGTTAGCGTATCGACTTGTCGGGATGATTGGTTCTCCCTGGGCGTTGGCTCACCACAGGAGGCGGATCCGCTTCTTACCTGCGTTTTTAAGACCGAACTATTTACACATATGCAAGCAGCAATGCCTGGTGGCGGTTTTAATCTTAAAATAGGAGATTCGATCGAGTATGCCAAGAAGCCTAACAAGATGCAGCTAATCAAGGTAGTCAAAGACTCTCAACAAGCTCAAGATCATTACAAGAGTGGAACTATTCACACTCAGGCAGGCGAGCCACCCAATTCGCGATCAAAGCCTTTGCCGAAAGGCAAGCCTGTCGCGCCGAAACCATTCACCTCCGGGCGTCTTATCAAGCCTGGAGGACCAGGAGGACGACCCTCAAAATTGACGAACGGAAACCGACCAATCCCCAAGCCAGTTCCTTCACCTGCTGCGGCAAGACCTGTGCCTACACCAGCTGCAGCAAGAAGCCCGATACCTGCGCCGATTCCCGCAGCCAATCCTATTGCAGCCTCTATTCCAGTGCATACAAGGAATCCTTCTTTACAATCAGCACAATCTACGAGAGCTGTGCCCCCACCTCCTCCACCTGCCCCACCTGCTCCTCCCCCGGCTCCAGCATCGAAAGAGCCTCAATACCGCGTTCTCTACGAATTTGCTGGACAAAGTGCCAATGAGTTTTCTCTCAAGCAGGGTGAGATAGTGACTGTTCTCCAAAAGGAGACAAATGGTAAGCTTAGTCCAATCATTATGTGATAACGCCAATTGAACTAACAACGAACAGGCTGGTGGCTCACCAAGAATGTCCGTGGTCAAGGTTGGGCACCTACTGCTTACCTTGAAGAAGTCGCACCGCCACCACCACCACCTGTCGCCTCTCGTCCAACACCACCACCTCCCCCTGGACCTCCGAAAATGAACGGTGCAAATGGCGCTGCAGTTCGCTCTAAGCCTACTCCGCCTGCACCGCCTGCCAAACGCCCAGTAGCGGGTAGGAAACCAGCCCCTCCTCCTGCGCCCCGTGATTCTGGTATGAGTATTTCTAGTAATGGAAGTGGTAATAACAGTGGCCGGAGCACTCCCACTCCAAGCTTAGCTGGTGGTCTAGCTGAAGCTTTACGAGCCAGGCAAAGCGCAATGCAAGGAAATGCTAAAAAAGAAGATGAAGATGATTGGTAATCGAGGAAGAAAGTGATATCATGTGATAAAGGTTCTTAGCTGATGGGGCAGGACAAGATAAACGAGACTGAAGTATATGGAAAGCAGATAGAATGAAGACATGAAGCAAAACCATTGTTCTTTACGTGCAACTTGGCGAGGTCAAGGGACGGTATTTTCTACAAAATCCTGTATTCGCATTGATGCGGAATTTTCGTATGCATTGTGCTTGAGAGCGTTTTCTGATATAGAAAGACAGAGATCGCTAGTGTTATAGTCTGGGAGGAAAGAAAGGGGTGGGTATGGCAGAAGGTTCTCCACAGATAGAAAGGGAAATGCTTTATTTGTATACAAGTTTTGTTTTCAACACATAGTTCAATTCAATTTGATTAATTGATAGTATAAGTACATTTGTTTCTTGGCTTACTAATTGAGGATAAACTATAGGGGTAGGGGGATATGATCTACTACTGGAATAGAAAGGGGAGTAGGGAATAGGGTTACCGAGCGAGCAGCGGTACGTTTGTGAAAGCGGAATTTCTTAGTGACAAATGCCCACTCTCGTAAACTATGAGATGCTATTGCTAAATCAAAACCAGTAGCTGGCTACTCATTCATGATGTCTCACGCCATCTCCAACCCCCACCAATAGCCCTATTCTAGCCCCATAGAGATCAAGGAAAACCCAATACCCCAATATGCACGCAAGTATTCCTCAAAATGCCCCAAAATTTCAGAAGTGAGCTCAGAGCCCCCCACGTAAGCCAAGGAAACGTTAGCATCATAATCATAGTCTCCATTTCTGTATAATGAGCAGGAAAAAAACTAATTACGATCTAATCTTCGTCTCAAATTTCTCGTCCGACGCATCAACTTCTTATACTTGTGTTTCTTCATCTTTAATTTCCGCTGTCTCTTCACACTGATAGCCCACATTGTCGCTCTCTCCCGGCGACGCATTCTAGAACGCTCTAGATAACTTCTGGGTGGATCTTCGGATACTATAGGGCCGCTTTCGGCTGTATATGTTACTTCACCGGCTGAATCCGTGAATTCGGTGATGGCGAGGAGGGTGTGGTAGGTACGTTGCTGGGGGAGATGCGCTTCTGCTTGTTCAGCGGCGGCTTCTGCGCCTGCTGCAAGAGATTCCTCTGTACTCATTGGGACGGGCGCGGGGGGAGGGGAAAAGGGTGTGTATTTGCGGGCGAACATAGAGCGGGGTAGTTCGTTGGCGTTGTCAAGATGTTGAACGCGGTAGGAGTCGGCGGTGATCCCGGCGCGGAGTTCATCTGTCTCTTCGTTCCATTGATCTTGGATATTAAGTTGTTTGAGGGACCCTGTGGCAGAGTCAAGTGTTTGAAGTGTATTTGATAGGGTAGCTATCACATCTTGCGATTTATTGGATCGTGTTCGTGGAGCAAAGATAGCGGCGAACGCTTCGTCGGTAACGGCTTTAGGGAAGTTCATAGTGAGGGATATAGGTCTGTGTAGGGAGAAGAATGCGGATGCGGCAATTTCTGCGATATGTAAGTTAAAACGTTTCCTATTAATGGTTGTAAGTGTGCAAACTCACGATTCGGCGCAATATGACTGGTACTAGGTACACTGGGTAGATTGTGCATCGTGTCGGCTTTGTTCGCAGACCCGGGTGAAGCATCCTTTGCCTTTCTTCTCCCCGCTTTCACAGCTTTCTTCTCGCCATCAGGTCTTGCTTGTGATGGAGATGCAGGAACCGCCTGCCCCTCTGCTACTCCCTTTGATCCATCTGCCGGACTGGAAGGTTTCGACGAAGAGGAGGAGGATAATCTCCGTTGATGAGAACGGAATGAAAGGGCTTGAGAAGTAGCAGCTCGTGGTGCGACATTATAGACAGGTAGGATTATCGGTAGTGGCGGTGCTGTTAAAACAGCTCTTCGAACGGAAGAGGAAAACATCCTTTCTCACGATAGGCGTCAAGGTGGATTTTCGTCGATATCCAGAAGATATTTGAATTGAAAGTCTTATCTTGGTTTCCTTGTTCCAAAAGGCTGCGATGGGCGCTAAGAATTAGGCGCCGGCGTTAAAGTTTATTCACGTGATAGTCTTGCGCTACTATATGTAGTGCGTCCAGTCCAACGCTTACGATGTAAGATTGACTAAGATTTTCACAGTGCCATGCCAGACGTCGAAGAGATCTACTCAATTAGGGAAATATCCATCAGTTCCACGTCTGACTTTCTCTATAAATGCCAATCATTTCCATAAACATGAGCCTAAAACCACGCTTTCCAAAGTTAGACATGACTAGTGGGAGATGGTCGAACGTGGTATAATAAGACCGGAGCAGTGAATCTACAACGTTGATATCTAGAGTAGCCAAGCTAGGTTCAATTACTCAATGTCTCCTGTTGCGTTGGGTTGATAAAGCGAAAGTAGTCCTTCGCCTTCAGCCATAAATCAAATGTTCCACATACCTACCCGTGGACGTATGAAATTGGCGAAAAAGAAGTCGATCCCTTACCCGCACTGTACATGGCTTTGATTGTGTCAGCTTGATAGGTTCATTCTGATCTACTCAGTTTGTAATGCAAGGTTACTCGGAGATTCCTTTACATGGTAAGGTCACCTTGGTTTTTGCGAAAATCTTGCATTCTTGGGATCGAGAATGTTTGCGCATTATGAGTAGAGTAGATATAAAATTGATATATAAAATCGATGTATGAATCAAGATCCTCACAAGAATGTACCAATAATTGGCGTATATTATCACAGCAGTGTGTCAAGCAGGTACAAAGTTCTATTATTTCCCAAAATATTGTGGTAAATGCCAGTTGTTCCAGAAATGCCAAAACTCAGCCATCGTTGTCTTTCAATCAAATCCAGTGAATCCCAAAGAGTAACCAGGAAATCGCCAGGCCTATCTATCACCACAGACCTCCTTCGTCTCTTCCACTTTCGAAGAAAAACTAGACACAATCTCGGAAAAGGACAAGAAGCAATCCATGAAGCAAAAATATTCAACCAACTCTGACAAACATTCGATTTGACGCTCCAGTCCAGCTATCAATCCCCTATGATAAATCACATAGTTTTTAACCGTACGCATAGGAACTGGTAGAAAATATTTCGAGGCGCTTTAACTACTAAGTATTTCATCGCTTCATTCATCAAAATCATGCTTTCATAACATATCATAAACTATCCTCCCAGCCTAGCACCTAACATCCATTCGTGTGAACAATTCCTTTACATGAACTTACTTGCCAGTCCCATCAATCCACTCATACCACCAGAGCTCCCACCACCTTGACTCTTCATATACATCTTAAGAGCCATTTCACCAGCTTGCTGAACAACGCTTTCCTTAGAAGAACCAGAAGAGACATTTCCTTGACTGCTTTGTTGATCAAATAATTTACTGGCTTGTGCCATTGCCATTCCAACGAAAGCGTTTTGAGAGTTTCCGGACGAGGAGTTTCCGGATGAGCCACCGTTGAACATCTTGAGTGCTTGCATTGCGGCAGCACTGCCCATGCTAGATGAAGATGCCGAAGAACCGCCGGAAGAGCCGCCACCGCCATAGTATTGTTTGTGGGAGTTTACAGCTTCTATTTTTATGTTATTAGTATATTTTTGTAGGTTAGACAGTAGCAATGTAGCTGAAATGACATACCTTCTTCATCGACATCTTGATTACCGATGTTTTGTTTGTTCTGGCCCAAGTAACCCAAGACGCTCGAGAACAAGCTAGAATCTCCAGAATCACCGGCATGTTCTTGAGCATGATGAGCTGCGCCCTTCAAATCCTCATCATCGGCACCGTATCCTCCACCGCCTCCATATGGGTTATTTCCACTTCCTCCATATCTCTCATCGCGGCCGCCGTGACGGATTTCTTCTTGTCCTCCTTGTCCACCACCTCCGTAATAGCTTTGGGCTTCTCCGCCTCCTTGACGACGATCTTCGTTAAAGTTTCCGCCACCGAATGCTCCTCCGGGCCCGCCTGCTCCACCTTGGTGGCCTTCTCTTCTTTCTGTGAGAGTTTGTAAGCTTATGCTGTATACATAGAGAAACAAAGGAATGGATATTGGGTAGCAAACCTTCACCGCCATATCCGGCGCCTTGTCGTCCCTCTCCACCATATCCACCACCCTGCTGTCCACCATAGCCCTCCTCATCTCTGCGGCTATGTTCTCTTCTCTCTACAGATCCTAGTCAGCGCGTTCCGTCCTCAAGGCCCCGGTGACCCCCCATATTCAACACTGTAATTCTTACCTTCACCTCCATATCCCCCGCCTTGTTGACCACCGTAGCCTTCGTTTCCGTAGCCAGACATGATTGTTGTTGTTTGATTTGAGTTTTGTTTGGTTTGGGAAATGCTATAAATGCAGTTCTGTCAGTCAAGAACTTAAGAACAGAAGATGTGTTTGTTTTGTTGAGGTGGCTTGTGCGGGGTCATGTTGGAGCTCCGTTAAAGCTTTCGCCGAAAGACAACATCCGGATAGTATCCTTTGATTAGAACTTACTATTTGAGGTTCGTAATAGAATTTCTTGTGATGTGTTAAGAAAGAGTTGTCTTTTGTGTATAATACTATAATAACAGAAACAAATCGTTAATGCACGCAGAGGAGCTTGTTATATTTTTGAACCCGGAAATCTGGATCAGCAGCGCTGGATTTCAAGGAGGGGAATCATGCAGATGATGACGTTTCCGTGGTGGGGTAGCTGAAACCCCTATTGGTGTGGAACACAGAAGCTCGCTTGATTGGCTTGGTGTTTCTCTTGGGATATCCTGTGTAGCGCTTTCAGCTTGAATGTTCATATTGAATTTCTTGACTACATAATGATAATTATTAATAAGTGTGACTTGAATTTGATATCGAGGCGTTGGAGATGAGACATTATGATGGTGTGGAATCAGAGTCTCATCTAGAGGAGTTTATCTACACTACATCTGAATTTGATACCAAAGAGAAGTTTATGGCTAAATTTCGGAGGGGTACTTGAAATTATCTATACCAAGAACTATATATTAAATCGGCACTCGCGCACTACGAAGTATGATAGCAGTGAAATGCACGTGAAATATAACACTGTAGTCTAATCCTACAAATCAGATACCTGCAAATAAAGATCTGGCTTAGTTACTCCCAATGACAGATCCACAACAAGAACGATTCTGATATTCCTAAGATGTGTATTGCACCAAGCGGCAGCAACATATATCACTTCAATCCGCATATCAAGTCCTTCGATTATCATGTGTGATGTTCTGAGTTAGAATAAATACTGTGCGCCTACTCACTACATGAGGTATTGTCATTTCATTAGTGTTGATATTCCAGGAACTTGACAGTAATGAGATTACTATTATCCTACTACGAAGTCTGAGTAACCCCGTGAAAAGAGAGTACCAAATCCCCACTCCTTATCATCTTCTATCCGTCCAACCTCTACTCTATACATGCTAAATGCTGTCCCATATCTATTATATTATACCAAGACCCTCCCCGAAATAAATAAAAAAGCATAAATCCCACATCATTAAATCATAAACCCAATCACTCTCTTATTTCTTCCCCACCGCCTCCATATCACTCTCCTTCTCCTCCTTCAACCCCTGCAACGTCTTATGCTCCACCTCCAAACTATATCCTTTGACGAATAAACTCGACACCAGCGCCGCTCCAGATAACGCACACATGACAATCCAAATCATTTTTAAACTATCCGCATACGCGTCCTTCAACTGAGTCTTTTCTGATCCTTCGTCCATATTCTGAATCAATTTCACCAATGCCGTTGCATCTTTACTATATTCTGTTGCCATACTAGCAAGAAGTGGATAGGCGAGAAGTTTCTCCTTGATTTGATTTTGAAATACAACACCTCCGATAGCGACACCAATCGCTTGACCAAACACACGATCAAAGGAGTAGAAAGCAGCTGCGTGGCCTGCATCTTGCGGACGGGAAGCGGCTTGAATTCCGAGTCCCAAGGCCGGGAATAACATTCCTGTACCGATTGAGATGGGAACATTGATGAATACCCATTGCACAATTGAAGTTGATGGCTTGAGAAGATAGAGAATTCCAGAACCGAAAGTTGCGAGAGACCAACCCGACCAGAGTGCCCATCTGTAGCGACCTGTTTTGGAAACAAGGACACCGACTACTACTGACATGGGCTGGGGATGTGTTAGTAAGTTTGAGGAGCTGGAGAAAAAAGACTTGTATGACTTACAGCAACGAAACTGGTTTCGGGTAAGATGGCAACACCGGTGACGATAGGTGAATAACCCTGAACGGCCTCGTAATACAATGGAAGATAGTACAACAAAGACCAAAGAACCATTCCGTGAATCATTGTTTGAAAGTATATGGAAATCGATGACCATGTAACGAAGATACTGAAACGGATGATCGGCTCGACATTATCTCCCGGTAGAAGTTCGCCTTCGGAATCGAATGCGCGATCGGATAGCCTTTTTTCATAGAAGGAGAAACCAATTAAACCTACTACGCCTATTATGAGAGGGAAGAGTACTCTCCACGAATCCCAAGCGTACATTACACCGCCTAGTCTTGTTAGCGATATAGGTTATAGATTTGAATGGATATTCATACCCCATGTGATAGGAATCAAGAAAGATATTGCTGAAGAAATGAAGACGACGGAACCAAGCCAATCAAATCTTCTGACTTTTGCTAACAGATTCCCTGGCGTACGTGTAATTTTCAGAAATAGAATGATTGCGATTGCTCCGGATACAATGAGGGGAATATTGATCCAGAAGATCCATCTCCAAGAGACATTTTCTGCGAAAGCTAGCGAAGAAGTTAGACGAGTATGTGCAAGAGGATGGAGGAAAACTTACCACCACCCATTAATGGACCACCAACACTTCCGATAGCCCAAATACCACCTGTTTATACAGTTAGTTGATATAATATCCTATGTCCTGAAGGAACCCATACCCAAATAACCAAAATAAGCACCTCTAACAGAAAGAGGTACCAAATCTGTGATGACAATCTCACCCAAAGACAAGACTCCTCCTCCTCCAATGCCTTGAACACTTCTACCCACCAGCCTGTTAAAGTTTCACGATTAGCAAATATCCCTCAGCCCAGTCTAAGACAACACATACATCAATGTAAAATTCGTTGCCACGGCTGCCAAGATGCTACCGATACCAAACAATAAAGCCGAACCAAGTATTAATTCCTTTCTGCCAAAAACATGACTTAATCCCGCAATCACAGGCTGAGATACTGCAGAAGTGAGTAAAAACGATGTGCCAGACCAAAAAGCTTCGATGGCTGATCCTCTAAGTTTCGCGGTGATGATCGGCAGGGCGATACTGAGAGAGGTGGCATCAAGTGCGGCGGCGAGAGTGATGAGACATATGGAGGAGAAAGCAAGGATGAAGGCTGTGCTTGGTTTGAATTCAATTTTTGCTTCGATGGGGACATCTGTGGCGGCAGGTTTCTCCTGAAGACTGACAGGAGGATCTGAAGCACTGGTATTGGAAGATCTTGCTGGTGTGATTATGGAATTCTCTAAGTCCGGAGTTTTCGCGGATTCTACCATGGTTGAAAATACCATATATGATGCGATGGGTAATCGAGGAGATCAATGTGATAGTGGAAAATGAATGTTCAAGTAATGCAAAAACGTATCGAAAGGGAAGAGCTTTGCTAAGACAATACAAAGCTGACTTGATTCAAACAAAACATAGTATAATTCAAAATACGGACTCGGACATGCATCTCTATATATCTAGTCATCCAGCCTAGATCTCAGGAAAAAACGAACTAACCTCTTAAATCCTAGCAAATTCTCAAAACATAGACATTTCTAATCGCAGTTCCAAGGGAGACGAAAAACATACGTTCGTACCAACCATATCGCTCCGTCTCAACTCCACTTCAGCCTATCGTCAATCCATCAATCTATCAAACGCTCCGTCCCAGCTCCCAACAATGGTTCCTTAGCTCTAGAGCCCACTTTAAACGCCATTCCCAGTAACAAAAAATGCACTTGCACCTTGTCTACAAAGCTTGTTCGAACGGGAAAGGAGATCTCGGATTCCTTTTTATTTATTTACGTGGGGACGTAGCCTCATGTGTTTTCCATAATTGTAACACCTCGAATGTCCCGCTAATCTCTTCTATACATGCGAGAATGACAATTGAAGAAAGATCAGTAGATGCGCCGACGGGCCAAGATTGCTCCGACTCCCATCCATTTGTTCGTTTCGCTGCGTCGTATAATTAGTCCTGCCGCACGTGATATGCTTAACGAGCTGACCAATTACGCATAGGTATGGAAAGTCCGTTCCATCCTGACGCTATTATCTAATCTCGGGCCTGAATGTGTCAGGGTGTCCGAGTTTAGGTGGTACGTACGAGGGAGCGAGGCTGTAAGGCTACATGTGTACCTAGTACGTACTCGCATACATGCATGAATTTAGGGGTTTCGTCCCGATATTCCTTACAAAGCTTCAAGATTCGATATCAATATCAATATCCATTAACACAAATAATTCAGTTCATGTAAACACCTCACCTCGCCATGACGCAAACGCGTCTTTCCCTTCTATCCAAATGCCGAATCAATAAGATAACCGATCTCGCACAACCATTTTGTTACTTCCACATGATATTTCTCGTCTATGGATCCCAGATACTATTCCATTATCTCGAGCCCGGGGCTCTGAGTACCGGGGAAACGGTGGTTTTCAATGCAAGTGCGTGGGCTATGATATGGTGTTATTGGAAGACCTGTTCTGTTGATCCGGGGGAAAAGGGCTGGGTTGATAAAGTTGCGAATGAGATTGAGAAGGAAACGGAGAAGGACGGGAGGGATGAGAAGGCTATTGGAGAAGGTGAAGGCTTAGAAAAGATAGAGTGGGAAAATGTGAGATGGTGTAAGAAATGTGATGCGGTGAAGCCGCCCAGAGCACATCATTGTAAACAATGTAAACGGTATATCTCCCCGTCTCTCATTCTACTTTTCTAAGTCAACTCTGAATAAGTATCAGTATTAATACCCTCTAGCTGCATTCCAAAAATGGACCACCACTGTCCCTGGACCAACAACTGCGTCTCCCACATCACCTTCCCCCATTTCGTCCGCTTTCTCTTCTACGCCGTGTTTTCCCTCCTCATCCTCGCCTACTTTCTCTGTATCCGAATCGGCTACGTCATTTCCGAAAGTACTCTTCCTTCCTACTTAGGACCCTCAACCACCTCCCTCACCTTTCTCTTCGTAATAATCTGCTCCGCTGGGCTCTCCCTCTTCGCCATGTCCCTCCTCTTTCTGCGCACCGTCTACTCCCTCGCAACAAACATCTACATGATCGAAGCCTGGGAAATCGAACGCCACGATGCGGTTATCGAGCGCTCGAAATCGAGAAATATGCGCGGCTATGTGTATGCCAATGGAGGACGCAAAGTCAGAGTGCACAAAGTGGAATTCCCCTTCGATATAGGTATTTGGGAGAATATTGTGCAAGCGATGGGGGCTGCGAATATCCTTATGTGGTTCAATCCGCTTGCAGGCGGACCAAGTCTAGAGAGTGCGGGGACGTGGGAGGAAAATGGATTTAATGATAGGGTGGGCATGTGGCCGCCTCCGGATCCGGATAAGTTGGGGAGGAGAGCGGGATGTGTGGGTGTGGAAACTATCCCAATGGAAGAGAAAGTCTATGGGAGTGTAGAGGAAGAACGAGATGCATTTAGACAGCGTCAAGAAGCGGATTTGAAACGCTGGAAGAAGGATGATGCAGGAGGCACTGTCAATAATGGAGATGGATATTATGAAAAAGATGGCGCAGAGGAGGAGAATGAAGATGAAAGTGAAGAATATGAAGAGGGACTCGACGGAGAAGAAGGCTGGACGAATTCGGAAGGTGATAGATTGAGAGATTATGGGGTGGATGAAGAAGCGGATATTGTGGATGAAGATGAGATACCGTTAGGAGAATTGATTCGACGACGTAAAGCGAGGAGTTTTGCATCGGCGTGAGGGGTGTAATATAGAATTGGATGGAATAAAACGGAACAAAATAGATAGATAGAATAAAATGTACACATATAGAATCTAAAATATCTCACGGAGAGGAACACCCGCGAGACGATATTTACAACCTCATTTTCTGTCCCATTTTTTAACCGAACGATGAAGGAGTCGCTGAACATTAAATAAAGCGTCCATACTTCCACTAATATATACACAAACCTCACTCGAATCATTCGTTCATTCGTTCATTTTTCGCTCACAGCTTGAGATGGAGAAATGAAACACACAATTTATATTATCCAAAAGCCATCGCCTATCCCAGCATTTACTGCTCTGCTCACGTTACCCTCATATTATATTCTATTGAGGGATTCTATTGAGGGATATATTTATCCCTCAAATATATCCCTCATCCCTCAGCCATCCATCAATAACATCGCCAAACCGCCATGATCTCATGAATACTAGTAATACAAACGTATCGTGGGTCATAACTTCATCTCCCATCTTCCCAGTTTGTTCCATTTCATTTCAATCCCCCTTTCCCATCGTTTTGAAACGCCAGAAAAGAAGAATGATACCGCCCATGTTTGTGTTGAAAATATACAATGAAATTTCGTGTTTCCCCTGAACTGCTTGCAAGTGTACTGGGAAAACAAATCCCAGGTTATCTTGACTTATTCTTCAATTCTGTTTCTTTTGATTCTCCATATCGTAAGGAAGAAATCAAATAGCAAAGCAAGTAGCGAAAACCGTCGCAACCATAACCCACCAACCCAAACCCTCTACTATCGTCCTCCCAGCCGCTGAATCCGATCCACCACTCGCAGTCGTTCCATTAGGCAACGTACCATTAATTAGAATCGTCGATGTACCATTGACATCCGCAACATTGACGAGCGACTTGTTCAAGGCGTCATAACTTCCATCTCCGATTATCTGATCCAGGAATGTCGAGTTTCCACTATCGTCGCATCCGCACTCACTGTATGCAGCACAGAGACATGTGACTGGTTTTTTCTGGTCGACACCCGTCGTGTCTGAATCTTGACGGGTTTCGATAGTGGCAGATGTGGTGTTGGTGCCGTTGCGGGTAGCCGAGTGGTTGCGGAAGGCATAGGGATTGTGGTATGGATAGCTGTAGGCGCCGTAGAGCCAGAGACCGGGGAAGATGGACAGCGCACCCAAACCGAGGAAGACAGGCGCAATTCCGAGAGGTGAACGAGCACCGGAGGAATATGGTGTTGTTGCTCCTCCGCCATACTATTTGTGTGTTAGTAATCAATACCTGAATCTTTGGGAAAGGTACATACATATCTCCCCCCACCATAAGCAGGCGCGGGACCCGAGCCAGCTTTCGTAGCACCACCCGACGAAGAGGAAGATGATGTGACACCTCCCTTTCCAGACGAAGAACCAGAACTATTTTACTATCATGTTAGAGCTTGATTCTTCCGAACTCAATCCAGTACATTCCGCCCAAACACCGAATCTCGGTGCTCTACCCCCAACAGCCGAGTTGGTCCCTCAATGGCCCTTCTCAAAATTCGTTCGCATCACATCTCGTCACAGTCATCCATTCCATAAATCTCAAAATCAGAAAGAAGAAAATTCCCATGAACATACCTTGAAGAAGAACTGCTTCCACTGCTTCCACTACTACTACTACTGCCACTACTCGAACTTCCACCTCCTCCCTTACCGCCACCGCCTCCTCCACCCTTGCGTTTAAACAAATCGCCACCCCGTTTCTCCTCGCGAGAATAGTATGTGAATTCTTCGGCTTCGACTACAGGCTGTGCGTTTGCATCGCGTGTGATCAATTCTGCAGAGGGAATATATTGCGGATGCGCAAATGAGGGAGTGGACGAGAAGAGTAGCAGTGCTACGGTCCAGAAATCCGTCCTCATGGTTGATTAGGTGAGGATATTTATTAGTGTTTCTTGTGAGAAATCGATTGCTGAAGAGTTCTATGCTATCGTAATGCGATACTTGAAGGATAAAAGAAGTAAGCAATTAAAATATTATTCTTCCCCAGTTGAATAAAATGGAATCGATAATATTGATGTAGATGTAGATGTAGATGTAGATGTAAACACCAAATACAATACACCGATAAGAAAATCGATATGCGACTCAAACTTTAAAAGTTTCCAAAAGTGCGCTTTGTTTCACCGGAATATGATTCGTGATGCTGATGTGTTTGCAAACTTCACTTTCGAACGTCACTTGCTTGCAATTTAGAAAAATCTCCAGCAAAATCGCGTCCGGGGGGAAGTCAGTTGATATATACCTATCTATCGTAGTACCTACATCATTGATAACTTATTACCTCTTAGGGTTCCCGATTTTGATCCGGAGCACCGCCAAGATTTGCCTTATGATTCGCCTCACCTGCATCACTTGTTAGTTTCTCCTCCATCCATGGATCACATTTCACATTCCCATTTCACATTTCACACCTCTCTTGGGAATCCATTTCACTTCTTTGGACGCGCTGCCTGGCACTGCCACGAGTGGCTTGGCAGATGTCATTTAGGGTAATTGGAAGGTTTTTGTGAGGTTTAAGTGTGGAATAAAAGATGTAGAATTAGAATGGTGCCAAGGGCCAAGATATTGGCACAGGATTAGCTAATCTAAGCTAAGCTAATTTAGTAATTACACGTGATAAAAGTATAACAGTTTTTTAGTTAATCGTTATTACCGGGCCAGCGGGCGTCTTACTTGATGTTTTTCGATGAGTATACGATACCTACCTAGGAGGGTAAAGACGATGATTACCGGTAGATATGGTAGATGTGGATGGATGTAGAATAGCACGAACTAACAAATCATCATAACTTTAACCATCAATTGTTTCTCGTCCCTTCCCTTCTGATCACGATTGATTGATAGCAACCATAATCTTGATTGAATACTCAGGTAACCAACCTTATGTAAAACAAGTTTCCACACCCATCCCATCTATCCCCCTCTGATTTTGAATCAAAAAAGTGATGTAAGATTAAAGTGAGATCCTCTAATCTAGGGGTAAGACGGAGGAAAATTTAAGCATATCCAGTAAGTAGCACGATGCCTCCACCACCTTTTCCCAGTTTTCCATCTCCACCTCATGCACTTCTCTTCCCAGCTTCCATATATACGGTAATTACATCGTATCGTGTAATTCCAACACGTGATGTGGAGATGAGCGACGGATACATAGATCCGATTTATGTAGCCATTGATTACCAATCACAATGGCGGGGTTGATCATCTGGACTTTTTGTTATAACCGGTAGTTTTTCCACGGGTACGCTTGCTGGCTGTTGATGAATGCATGACCACTAGACTAGAAATCTTCTAGAAAATCTTCAAAAGATGTGTGGAGGCAAAATATGGTCATGGAGCAAGGCTTATCCTCTTAGTTCAGCAATGGAGGCTTAGGATACACACTAGAAGTATTTCTTTGTTCCAAAAGTCTGAGCTGATTCTCGCCTCAAGGGCTGAGATCGCAGCTTGATTGTTCTCCTCGGATATGGATATGGGAAGTATTGGACAGTCACCAAAATTACGGTAGATATTCTGGTGTTATTGATATCTTGTATTAAAACTTTTAATCATCAACTTTGCTTCGAAATATCTCGCTTGTATTGAATGATAGTATTGCTATCAGAGCTTATAGCCAAACCAAAAATATCCTAGATTGTTCATTTGACCTTTTCAAGCTATTTATGAGAGCTCCTTCTCCAAGACAGCTGGGGCAGTGATGGTCTGACCCTTCAGCTTCTCCAATCCTTCTCCACCCTATAGACATGTTAGCTTTGTTGAATCGAGCGGCATAGGACAAGTGAATGGTTGACTTACGTAACTGATCAATGGAGAAACTTCAATACCATCATCGGTGCTCTCACCGACAACAGTAGCACCTGCAGCTTGTACCCATCGTTTTCCTTGATCCATAATATGTTTCTTACTAGTATCTGGATCATCTTCACCAGTACCCCTCGCGTTCTTCAGTGGTGAGAACTCATCTTCGCGTTTGACCTCCATACAAGCAAATTTGTTGAGTTCCAACATTGGGAAAACATCGAAAACAAATTGCTCAAGTTTGATACCGTTTGGTTTCTCGGGTTTGACAGTTGTACCCTTCTCAGTATCCACGTAAGGAATCTTCTTTCTTGCAACATGGTGAGGCAACTTGTGAGCCCATTGAGGGATCGATTCAAAGAATCGGAAAGAGTAGTAGTGATTAACGATATTTGCTGCTCTGAACTTCAAGACATCCGGTTGCTTGGCATCTTTAGCTTCTGCGGTCTCCTTGTCGATTTCAGAATATTCAACAACATCTGGCTTGCCATTCTTGAGAAGGATCAGACCAACAGATTCGGTAGCATCTCTCTTGCGCACAACCTTTGTAGCAATGTCCACATCTTTAGAAGCTGAAAATCCAATGAATACTGGATCTGCTACCTTGACGAGACAGTTGTCTACGCAGTAAGCGTGAATGTGTTGAATGCCCCGGTTTGTCATGTCAGACATGACATTTGATGTGACGATGGCTTGGTAGATACCACCGTTTCCATCTGGTGCAACAGCAACCCTACCCTTACTCTCCAAAAGAATTTTACCATCATTCGAAATACAAGGGAGAACACCTTGTTCGAAGATAATAACATTCTCCTTTTCCAAACCAAAGTATTTATTTTCCTCAAAGTAATCTGCGGTAGGTCCTCGAGTTGGTCCACTGGTCATCACATACCATGGAACAATCACCTTTTTATCCGCTGCATAACCAGCCTTCTTATGTGCCAATCTCTGAACTCTGCGAATACGTTCTGCTTGTATTTGGAAAAGGGATTTTTCGGAAGGTAGACCAATATTGAAGCAACCCTTTGGAGCTGAACTTCCTAAACGGGTTCCTTGGCCACCAGCCATGAGTACCACTGCAACCTTATTTTCAGCAATCAAGTCCAAACCTGTTTCATACCACTTCTCAATATCTTCAGCTTTTGAATCGAGGATACTGGCAGTCGCAGATTCAGGGAGTGGTTCGAGACCAGTTTCTTTGTCGGCATCTTGGGTCTTGGGTGGGTTGAGAGCTGCATCGGTGATTTTGTTGATATATTCAGGATCGAAATTGGAAAGTTGTTCATAGAGAGCAGCTTTCTCTGCAGCTTCGAGGGTATCGTAAAATGCAAAAACCTGGTCTTGCTTTGCTTTGGTGTACTTCTCCTTAAGCTGTTCAAATTCGGTGGAGCTGGGCTCTCTAGGAGGGGCAGTTTGTGTCTTGCCTCCAATGTGCAATGTATCGAGGACTTTCTGAACGGATTCCATGATTTCGTCTTATGTAAAGAATGGTATCGTAATGTATAGGGGATGAAGGATTTGGAAACTGGGAAATTCAAGAATCAATTAAATCAGGGGAAATGGAATTTATATAACTTTTTGTTTCTATGTGTCTTATTGAGGGAAGGCACCGCACAGCCCAGCCCCACCATCCACTCACCGTCATATACGAATAAGTAAATAATGAGGGTCGCTAGAACAACTTACCATTCTATTTATATTAATTGGGTATCGTTTCTTTTCTTTCTTCTGTACATGACACGACGCATTTGGATTTTTTTCTTCATGCATTGTCAGTATGCTGAGGATATTAAAAAGCTTTGCATGCAACAAATACGAGTAACCTTCGTGTTACTTATATTTGTATCGCAATTGTGGTAATAACTCTTCTGGAGAATTCGTCGTATCGACAGACGTCATTGCTATCTCCTACTTAAAATGCTGACTCGGCAGATTTATCTTGTACATCTATTCGAATACTCATCAGAACCCTAACATCGTATCCACTGCCCAACAATATGGGTAAACAAGTGGACTCCAAATACTTCAAGAAGACAGAGATAGAAGCAGATGCTGCACCTAACATAACAGCACCAAGCTTTCAAGGAAAATTAGATCTCTCTTCATTCACATACTCTCCAAGCCGGCCGCTACGCCCTCACCGAAATAGTTCCCGAACAACTCCCCGTAATCTTCTGTCAAATTCATCAACCTCACAATCATCTCTTTCTCCTCTGAAGCAGGAATTCTGTATCGACGCTCCCGATGTCACAGCAGGCTCTCAATCAGAATCCGAAAGCAACCGGTTGGAAGCTTGGAATTGCAAATCGCCTGAGCAGGGAACGCATGAACACAGGAAGCATGAATATGGAACGTCACATAATGAAGCTGGGTGCAATTTCCCTCAAGAAATGAGTGAGCAGCATGATCGATCCATTGAAATGGGGCTGCGTGGCGATTGTACGCCCTCCCCTATGACTTCGCCCGTACCAACAAGTGTTCGAAAGAGGCAATCACCTACAATGTGCCCAGTCGAAGCTCCTGAATATGTAAACGCAACCCCTTCTCCTCTAAAACGCAGGCTGGAGTCAATTTCCGCAACCCCAGCAAGCAAGCCCTCTCCAGCAAAAAAACGTCGTTCTCGCGCTGGCGGAGGCTACAAACCTCCATCTCACTACGCGCATCTTTCGTTTCTCCCCGATGTCATAGCACCTAATCTTTTGTGTCTTTTCGTAGGTCTTAATCCAGGTTTATTAACCGCTCAAGTTGGCCACGCATATGCACATCCCTCTAATCGTTTTTGGAAACTACTCTATTCATCAGGTTGTACCACTCGACTTTTGAAGGCGGAGGATGATTTCAAGCTACCAGAGTTATATTCTTTAGGAAATACAAATATTGTGGAAAGACCTACAAGAAATGGAGGGGAGTTGTCGAAAAAAGAAATGGACGAGGGAGTGAGTTTGTTGGAAGAGAAGATTAGGGCTTATAGACCGGAGGTTGTGGCATTGGTTGGGAAGGGTATCTGGGAGAGTGTGTGGAGAGTCAAGAAGGGGAAACCTATGGCAAAGGATGAGTTCAAGTATGGGTGGCAATCGGAAGAAGAGAATTTGGGAGTGATAAATGTTGGAGATTCATGGGGAGGAGCTAGGCTTTTTGTGGCATCTAGTACGTCTGGACTGGCAGCATCATTGTCGCCTGCGGAAAAGGAGAAGATATGGGGAGAATTGGGGTCCTGGATTGAGCGAAGAAGAAAAGAAAGAGATGGATTGAATGAAGTGAAAAAAGAGGTAGAAGATTGTGGCTGAGTTATGAGATTCACATGCATATTCATATGCTTAAGTTCTTCATATGAAACTTGGATCTCCCAACTACATCAACAAACAGAATGTATTCGGTTATCACACTACACATGATGATTCCTATGTTGAAATTTTACTTTCGAATTGCTGGACGATTAACAGGAGTTATAAATGCAAGTTGTCTCAATTGGGACCAAAAACTAGATCCATTTCCTGGACTGAAAGCTATACTACGAGAATTAATTATTATATTATTATCGTATAATTTATAATCACTCCTCCACATCACAAGATCTCCAGAACAACCTTTCCTCTGACCCTTGCACTCTCAATAATCTCAATAGCTCTCTTCCATCCCTCCGTCTCCTCATTCAACGCATCCTTAATCACCTCCTGGATCTCAATCTTCACCTCTCCTCTCTCAGCCAATCCAACTATCTTTTCCAGATACTCGGATTTGGTATGAAGAGATATCACGGCATAGCGAGGACCCCATATGAAGCCCGATATGTAACGCCAGATTTGTATGGGATTTTTGAAGAATGTCACGGGTCCGCCGAGACCTTTCACGTCGGTTTTGTCACCGACGATGGTTGTGTAGGCACCGTGGGGGTGGAGGAGAGTTTTCTGTGTGGGTGTTAGGTGTTAAGGGATAGTATTAGGTATTGGGGGATTGGAGGGGAGAGGAGAAGGTAGTAGGGGGGGGGGGGGGGGGGGGGGGGGGTTGAGATCTGGCGAAAGGGGGGGAGGACGCACGTAGGAAGGTATGAGGTCTGGTCCTCCCACGCAATCTATTAGTAGATCGTATTCTGTTGAAGTATTCTTGCTGTTGATTAATGTTTGGAGAACTGGGTCGGAGGTGTAATCTATTATTTCATCTGCCCCTAGACTTTTGACATACTCAATATTCTTAGAGGAGCAGATAGCTGTGACGTGACAATCGTAGAGGGTTTTGGCCACTTGAAGATGTGTTAATGTCATTTTATAATATATGGAGAAATCCCAACATTGAGTGAAGAAACACTCACATTGAACAGCCCATGAACCACACCCTCCTGATGCTCCTCGTACGATCACTTTTCTCTGTGAATCACTTCTAACTGCGGGAAGCCAATCCAAAGCCGCAAACATGGTTAATGCAACGAGAGGAATCGATGCACCGGCTTCATGAGATAGACAATTAGGTTTTTTGACCACTGGGTCTGAAGCTGGATTAACAGCAATGTATTGACTGAAAGTTCCTTGGCCGAACTGTTCCTATCAGTAACACATCTTAATTGTCTCCCAAGTCCCTCCAAAATATGAACAGATGAACAAACATACAACTTGAAATAACAACCCAAAGACTTCATCTCCAATAGACCAATTTCCTTTCACCTGATCTCCAATGGCTACAATGGTACCGGAGAAATCACGCCCCATGCCTTTCGAGCCAGAGACTACGGATACTATTCCTGCACGCCATAATTGTGTATCAACAGGATTTATAGACGCGAAATGGACTTTTATCAGGAGAGTTTTCGGAGTTTGGAGTGATGAGACATCCTGATCCTCAATGGTAAGAGGGCCTGCAAGGGTACTGAAGCGTAGAGCTTTGTAAGTTGAAGGAAGAGATGTCATGGTTGGAAATTGTGAAGATACAGATAAGTGATTTAGATTTTTGTTGATGTTGCCAGGGCCTCACAATCGTTTCGTTTCCTTTTCTGGTCTTGGATGAAATGTAACCTGATGATACCCTAGGTATTCATGTATAATATCGTCATAATCATTGAGAGATGAGGGGAACTCGTATTGTTCCCCTCATCTATTGGGGTCGAAAAGATGTTCTAGGATGATATGGGTGCCAAATCGGAACCTCAAAAATTTGAACGTCCTTCCATAATTCGGATGATTTTGATACAAACATATGAGACGATTGACGATAATTCATTATGAAACTCGAATGTCAATTTCGTACAATTATTGCTTCACGTTGAGAATAATAAAATCTCATGTTTGCTGAATCCTGGTGGAGCATTGACACTGACGAGGCTGAAGTGAAGTGTCACTCAAAAAAAGAAGCTCGAACAAAAAGTTAACCTTTCGGTGTAAGGTTGATAGAGACCCTCAAGAAAAACAGCTCGTGGTGGGGCGCAGTTTCAATAATACAACACAACTTTCTTTCGTCTCTTGAAGATCATTGCATTCTTTGACATCTTGTGAAAGTTTAAACATTTTCGTTATGGCGTTTGCGATCGAAGTTCCTGGTGAGGCAGCTCCTCTAAACCCTCAACAGGTATATCTAGCCTTGCAGTCGGCAGGGTCCTCTCAACAGCTAGCTATCCAAACTGGGACACAACAACTAGAAGCTTGGAAGACACAGAGAGGATACTATACTTTACTGCAGGTATTTTCTCCATGAATGTTGGAATTTGGGCACCCCAACTAACACTTTGGCTTAGGCAGTATATCTCGATAAGTCCCTACCCTCCGAAGTAAGATATCTTGCGGTCATACAACTGAAAAATGGTATCGATAAATATTGGCGAAAGACAGCTCCAAATGCTATCACCGCGGAAGAGAAAGAGAATATTCGATCACATCTGCTGGAGAGTGGATTCGAAGAGTCCGATCCTCAACTTGCTTTACAAAATGCCTTGGTGATTTCGAAAGTAGTCCGAGTGGATTATCCTATGGATTGGCCGGATGTTCTCACGAGTTTGATTAGTATGCTGCGAACTGCCAACGAAACAAACCAACTTCATCTACAAAGAGGAATGTTGATATTACTACAGATTGTGAAAGAGTTGGCTACCGCCCGATTGAGGAGATCCCAAACGAGCTTACAATCAGTCACGCCGGAGATGGTATTCTTGTTGAGCGGCATTTATACACAGAAGGTTTCACAATGGCTTGGTTTACTCTCTGGGAATTCTTCAGATGATCAAGGGGGTGCTATAAATGCTATGGAAAACAGTCTGATTGCGATCAAAATCCTTCGACGACTTCTTATTGTGGGTTATGAAAGTCCAAATCATGATAAAGATGTTCAACAAATATGGCAACAATCGCAACAACAGTTTGGTCAACTCCTCACAATAGTAAATGAAGAATCCACAGTTTTGGCATCACCTGCTAAGGAACTAGCTGAGAAGCACCTCGTACAATTTGCAAAACTACATGTCCAAATGTCAAATACACATCCTGCTGCGTTCGCACTCTTGCCTAATTCTATAGATTTGGTAAGAGGATATTGGGGATTCGTTTCTAAATTTGGAGATTCTTATGGCTCAGCAACACAGGATTTCAGTGCCAAAGCGTTGGCAACTGATGATGGATCAAAACAAGATAGACCGATCATGGAAAAATTATGTCTAAAAGGTCTCACTCTATTGCGAGCTTGTATGAAGATGGTATTTAGTCCAACACAATCTTTCAAATACCGAACTCCCGAGGTCAAAGAAGAACAGCGACAAGCTGTAGCATTCCTCAAATCGCAATTGCTTTCTGAACAACTAATAGCCGAAATGGCAAGTGTTATCGTTACTAAATTCTTCGTCTTTCGTCAAGTTGATTTGGAAGCTTGGGAAGAAGATGAGGATGAATGGGAGATACGTGAAGAAGGTGGTGGAGATACTTGGGAATTTGAAGTCCGACCTTGTGCGGAAAAGTTATTCATGGACCTCGTCATCAACTTCAAAGATCTTCTAGTGGCACCGCTGTTACAATACTTCCAATCGGTTACAGGTAGTAATGGGCAAGCCGTTGTCACCAAGGATGCTGTGTATACTGCCATGGGATTATCTGCTGCCGTTATACATCAAAGCTTTGACTTCGATACCTTCCTTACTTCAACCTTAGTTAATGATGTTCAACAAACCGGTCAAAGCTGGAAGGTACTTCGTCGACGAATTGCTATTCTACTTGGCCAGTGGATTCCTGTCAGAATATCACAAGCTAATAGACCGTTGGTATATCAAATCTTTCAACACTTACTTAAATCAGAAGATGAAACCAATGATCATGTCGTTCGCATTACTGCAGCTCGTCAATTCAAGGCGATTGTCGATGATTTCGAATTTCACGTTGAACCTTTTCTACCATATGCTCCTGATATACTTGGTCGCACTATGGCTTTAATTCAAGAGGTTGAGAATACGGAAACAAAATTGGTAATATTGGAAACAATTAGAATGATTGCTATCAGGTTAGAAACTCATATCTCTCCATATGCAGATCAAATTGTTTCTATTCTACCAGGTCTTTGGGAAGCTTCTGGCGAAGAACATCTCCTCAAACAGGCCATATTAACAATCATGTCTACTCTTGTATCTTGTATGCAAGGTCAATCTGAAAGATATCACTCGCTAATCTTACCTCTAATTCAACGCGCTGTGGAACCCGGTTCAGAAATGCAAGTCTACCTTATGGAAGAAGCTCTTGACTTGTGGGCACAAATCCTCGCCCAATCATCATCACCTGCATCTCCCGAGGTTCTAGCCCTCATCGATTGCGCATTTCCTTTACTTGAACTTGGTTCTGATAATCTTCGAGTCATTCTTGGTATCGTGAACGAATATATTTTATTGGCACCAGAAGCTATGCTGGGTGATGCGAATCGACTTCGAATTGTCTCGTATATGACCAGTCTACTAGGAGTTACAAAGCGCGATTTGGCCGGCCTTGTCACAACAACCGTCGAGGATTTGATTCGTGCTGCTGAAAAATTAGGAGGTTCCAATGGTGTTACGCAAATCACAAAAGATCTCCACGAATCTGGATATACGGAAAAAATCTTCTCGGGACTTCGTGATGCTTGGGAAGCTCATCAAACTACTGGCCCCGAGCGTAAATATCCTAAATTGGATGACGTAGTTGAGACAGATTACTTTACCATTCTGGCTCGCATTGCACTAGCAGATCCAAATGTTTTCGCTAATCTCCTCTTGAGTATCGACAACAATCTTGAAAATATCTGGAAATGGTTAAGTGAAGAGTGGTTCCGTCATTTCGACAGTATGGCCAACATCGACAGACAAAAATTGAGCTGTCTGGCTCTGACACGTCTTTTGGAATTACCTTCGCCAATGACGCAAATCATTCTTTCGAAACTTCAGGATTTCTTTGCGATGTGGACGAGTGTTGTTAGTGAGATGATGGCGGGGAGAGATGATATCGGAGGAGATAATTTGATATGGGGAGAACAACAAGTATTTGAGGGTGAGACTCAGGAAGATAAGAGGAAGAGGGAATGGAATATGGTGGATCCGGTTCATCAGGTTAATGCGTGGGAATTTGTAAAGACGAGATTGGGGGAGGTGGTGAGGGTTTGTGGGGGAGAAGAGATTTTCGAGAGGGAATTTGCGAGTAATGTTGACAGGGATGTATTGGAGGGTTGGGGGAAGTTGGGAGAGAAGAGGGAGTTTGATTAGGTGGTTTGAGGAGTAGGTTGAGGTTGAGGGAGATGAGAGATGAGAGATGAGATATGAGATATGAGATATGTAGATAAAGATAGAGATGAGAGGTCAAAGATGAGAGGAGAACTTAAATTTAGGATTATAGATGACAGATGGGAGATGAAGACGGGAGATGAGAGGTTAGGAATGATAAGAAGCGATGTATGTATGGATGTATGTGATTCCAAAGTCGCATATTAAAAAATATAACATGCACATACATCAAGAGATGAGCGTTGTAATTCCCCCCCCCGCATTTCTGAAATGAAGGAGTCAACATTTAACATGTATGACATATCCACCTATCTAATAACATATATAAGAGTTGTGGCCCCGGCTTATCGCACACTTAGCAAAAACATACCAAAAATCCTTATTTTTTCAACTTTTTAATTATATATTATTTTGATATATAAATAGATTGAATTATTAAAATTAATATTGATAATAAAAAATTAATAAAATAATTCAAAAAAATAAATAAAATATTTTTGATAAATTTTTGTAGAAAATTGTAGGTTTTTAAAGTTAGAATTTCTGAAAAATTGAAAAAAAGTGATTTTTTTTGTATAAAAAAAGTATTATACATTAAAGATTTCAAAAAATTTCCAATTTTGAATACTTATAACTTTATTCAAAAAATTATTAAAAATAATTCATTCATTTTTTTAAAAAAAACTAATAATAATTAATATTTATATAATTAATTTTCAAATTATATCTTTGATTTATTAAAGAATTAAAAAAAATTAATTTATATAAAAAAAACAATATTTTTGCTGGGATTTTGTTATGAAATAGAGTGCTGTGCGATAAGCTGGGGCTATAATTCTTATATAACATTAATCACTAAAACAAGCGAAATAGTATATATGTATACATGAGATTTTCCCGCTTGTGATTTTTATAGTATTATATCTTTACTTTATTTACCTACCTAGATTTAGATTTCAATGTTAATTTGAATGTCATTTCTATAGTTGGAGTGATTGGATTTTTTCCTATATAGGTGAATAGATAGTTGTGTGGGTGAGTGTATAGATGAGTATATAAATAGATGTATGAATAGGTGTATAGATAAGTAGATATATAGATAGGTATAATAAAATAGGATTTGAGAAATGAATAGGTATATAAATAGATGTATAAATGAGTATATAGATGAGTATATGAATAGATATATAG